TATATAAGGAGGCTTTGCTCCTTTGGTTTTATGATCCCAACCAAAATTCCTCCTTGTATTCTTTATATATTATTTGAGAGATTTAGAGTTTTATCCTTGGAGATCTCTCTTGAGAATAGTATTTTAGGAAGTGAGGGTGAGAAAAATATTGTGTATTGTATGGTGTAATAATTTCCATATAGTGAATATTTTTCTGAGGCGTCCATGGTTTTTTATCCAATTGGGGAGTTTTCCACGTTAAATCTTTGTGTTGTAATTCTTTTCAAATTTCTTTATATTGTTTTGCTTGAAGTCGGTCTAGGCGGGGAAAGAGAAACTATAGGTCACCTTTTCCCTAACAAGTGGTATCGGAGCCAAGGTTGTGTCTTAGTATGCTCTGTGGTTGCAGCTGTGTCTGATCTTCCACATTAGAAAAAAATTGCTTTGGTCTTTGTGAGCAAAAGAAGTTTGGTTAGAAAATGAGTTTTGGAGCTGGTTGCGTGAGATTTTTGCGGTTCTCTGTTAGCGCAGGTAGAGATCAAAAGAGGTTTAATATTTAAGATTGGAATCTTTGGAGACTGAGAATTTTGATCTAACGGCTGGTAAACTCAGACAAGGGAAGATTGCTGAAACGGTGGAGCTGATTCGGCTAGAGCTCTAACGTTTGTGGTTGCCAATGGATCTCCTGTGGCAAAGGAGATGATGAGTTCTCTCTACGAGTGAGAGATGTGTGTCCTTTTGGCATGTTTGCTACGTATTGAGATGCCATGGAAGAGGATAGATTATTGGTAGCTGGTCCACAAGTTTTCACATGGGCATTAGTTGATGGTGATGCAAGGTGTGTGGTGGAAAAGATGTCGATGGCTAATGAACTCTCAAGAAATCAACAAGAGGGTTGCACCATAAGTTATTAGCAGGTTTTTTCGACATGTGCCAAAATTGAAATTCTTGAAATCAGGAAGTGATTTTAAGTGAAAATTCTTGGATTGGTGATATTCAATGTGAGTGGAGATACTCTTTGTGGTGGAGTATGATAATTTTGGAATTAAGAATTATGATTGTCGGTAGCAGACAATGTGAAGGTTGCAGCTGCGCATGGTTGGCCAAAGTTAGAGTTAGGCGGAGAACTGATTCTGTTATGTGTAGCTGGACAACCGAAAAGGCCAACGGATTGTTTTTTCTTCTTTTCAAAGGTGGAGATTTGTTGGTCAAGGTTTGAAAAGGAAGAAAAATATTTGATGGAAAGTCAAAAATGGTAGGCTATGGTTTGCATCCCACATTGGTTGGGAGCAAACATTTAGTTGATTTTTTTGGCTATATAAGGAGGCTTTGCTCCTTTGGTTTCATGATCCCAACCAAAATTCCCCCTTGTATTCTTTATACATTATTTGAGAGATTTACACTATGTTTGGTTCAAGGAATTTGGAAGGAAAAGAAAAGAAAATGATTTTCTCTCATTTTCCTCACCAAAATGGGAAGAATTTTGGTTTTCCTCCTCTTAGTACATTTTGCCTCTCATTTTCTTTTCCTTCTACTTTTCCTTTCTTTTCCTCTTTAACCAAACAAGAAAACTTATTTTCCACTTAATTTTCTTTTCTTTTCCCTATCAAATTCCTTGAACCAAACATAGTGTTAGAGTTTATCTCTTGGAGATCTCTCTTGAGAATAGTATTTTAGGAAGTGAGGGTGTGTGAGAAAAATATTGTGTATTGTATGGTTTAATAATTTCCATATAGTGAATATTTTTCAGAGGGGTTCGTGGTTTTTTCTCCAATTGGGGAGTTTTCCACGTTAAATCTTTGTGTTGTTATTCTTTTCAAATTTCTTTATTTTGTTTTGCTTGAAGTCGGTCTGGGCAGGGAAAAAAAACTATAGGTCACTTTTTCCCTAACAATTGACTTTTGGCCTAATTTCCTATCCCACATCGGTGGGTTTGTTTGTTTTGGGCAAAAGTTGTAACCTATATTAGTGGGTTTATTGTTTGGCCATCCCACACCGTAGCTTTTTGTTTAGGGAGGGAGTTTTGCTTCCTATATAATAACTCTTCCTCCCCTTATGTTTTCCATCCCAATTTGTAATCTCTTCTCTCACATATCAATAAGAGTGATGCTCGGAGATTAAGCTAAACTCGCTGAACTCCGTTAACAAATTTTTGGGTGTGCTCTCTTTATCTCTTTTATTATTCCGCTTTATTTATTATTGTTATGCTGTTTTCTTTTCTGTTGTAGTATAGTATTCAATATTATTTGTCGCGTTAGTGTTTTGTCCATTTGTTCTGAACTGGTTCATTTCACTATTTGTGTTGACTTAGTGGGAAAATTACCCGATTTTCCCAACAAGTGGTATCGGAGCCAAAGGTTCGCCCTTGGGTTGTCTGGAATTTGTTGTAATATTGAATACTATATATTGAGTCTGTAATAATGGCAAATAAAGATCAAGAAGCGAAGGGTATTGTCTCAAATATTCCATCTGGGGTATCGGGCTCTTCGTCATCATGGTCGAGGTTCCCGGTGTCCAGTTTGAAATTGGCGGTGGAAGTATTTGACGTCACATGCCATTTAGGCATGTGGCAAGGAGAGGTTTTGGACTCTCTTTTTGGGCAGGGTCTTGATATTGCTATTGAAGAAAAGAAACCAGAAGATGTAGAGGATAAAGATTGGAGTACCATCAACCAGTTGGTCTTGATAAGCATATCTGTTTTGATATGCCTTCAAAACAGAGACTTCTGCACACAAATTATGGAAGGCGTTGGAGGACAAGTTTCTGAAAAATAGTGGTCAGAACAAGCTCCTAATGAAGAAAAGGTTGTTCCGATTTGATTACTATTCAGGTATCACTATGAATGAACACATCACTATGTTTAATCAATTAGTATCAGATCTATTGAATTTGGATGTGAAGTTTGAGGATGAGGATCTGGCTTTGATGTTGTTATCATCTCTTCCCGATGAATTTGAACATTTGGAAACTACATTACTGTATGGGAATGAGAACATGTCGTTAGATGCTGTTTGTTCTGCTTTATATAGTCATGAATTGAGAAAGCAGGATAAGGTGAAAACCAAATCAACGACATCAGAATAAGCATTGGTGGCAAGAGGTCGTCAGCAAAGCCAGACAAAGGGTAGAAGAGGAAGGTCGTCAGCCGAGCCGTTGCCAAAGATGAGTGTGCTTTCTGTCATGAGAAAGGAAACTGGAAGAAAGATTGTCCAAAATTGAAGCATAAAGGGAAGACTCCGCAAAATGCAAATGTTGCAGAATGCAAAAGTGATGCGGAATCAGATATCTCATTGACTGTCTCGCCTTCAGCGTCATCTAGTATCCACTCATCTGGATGCGATGACGCTGAAGGCGAGACAGTCAATGAGATATCTGATTCCGCATCACTTTTGCATTCTGCAACATTTGCATCTTGCGGAGTCTTCCCTTTCTTCTTCAATTTTGGACAATCTTTCTTCCAGTGTCCTTTCTCATGAAAGAAAGCACACTCATCTTTGGCAATGGCTCGGCCTTTGGACTTAGACCTTCCTCTTCTACCCTTTGTCTGGCTTTGCTAACGACCACTTGCCACCAATGCTTCTTCTGATGTCGTTGATTTGGTTTTCACCTTATCATGCTTTCTCAATTCATGACTATATAAAGCAGAACAAACAACATCTAACCACACGTTCTCCTTCCCATACAGTAACATAGTTTCCAAATGTTCAACTTCATCGGGAAGAGATGATAACAACATCAAAGCTAGATCCTCATCCTTAAACTTCATATCCAAATTCAATAGATCTGATACTAATTGATTAAACATAGTGATGTGTTCATTCATAGTGGTACCTGGTTAGTAATCAAATCGGAACAACCTTTTCTTCATTAGGAGCTTGTTCTGACCACTCTTTTTCAGAAACTTGTCCTCCAACGCCTTCCATAGTTTGTGCGCAGAAGTCTCTGTTTTGAAAGCATACTTCTGCTCTCTGGACAAGCAAGATCAAATAGTTCTGCACGCCAACTGGTTGATGGTACTCCAGTCTTTATCCTCTACATCTTCTGGTTTCTTTTCTTCAATAGCAATATCAAGACCCTGCCCAAAAAGAGTCCAAAACCTCTCCTTGCCACATGCCGAAATGGCCTGTGCCGTCAAATACTTCCACCGCCAATTTCAAACTGAACACCGGGAACCTCGACCATGATGACGAGGAGCCCGATACCCCAGATGGAATATTTGAGACAATACCCTTTGCTTCTTGATCTTTATTTGCCATTATTACAGACTCAATATATAGTATTTAATATTACAACAAATTCCAGACAACCAAAGGGCGAACCTTCGGCTCCGATACCACTTGTTGGGAAAATCGGGTAATTTTCCCACTAAGTCAACACAAATAGTGAAATGAACTAGTTCAGAACAAATGAACTGGACAAAACACTAACAGAAATACCCGACAAATAATATTGGATACTATACTACAACAGAAAAGAAAATAGCATAACATAACAATAATAAATAAAGCGGAATAATAAAAGAGATAAAGAGAGCACACCCGAAAATTTGTTAACGGAGTTCGGCCAGTTTAGCCTAATCTCCGAGCATCGCTCTTATTGATATGTGAGAGAAGAGATTACAAATTGGGATGGAAAACATAAGGTGAGGAGGAGTTATTATATAGGAAGCAAAACTCCCTCCCTAAACAAAAAGCTACAGTGTGGGATGGCCAAACAACAAACCCACTAATATAGGTTACAACTTTTGCCCAAAACAAACAAACCCACCGATGTGGGATAGGAAAAAAGGCCAAAAGTCAACATATATAACACCAAATAACACTGTGGAATGCCAATGTATAATGTCACATTATCACAATGCGAACTTCTATTTTGGGGTTAAAAACATGGAGGTCTTGTTTTGGTAATATTCCTATGTTTTACTTCTATACTATTTGGGTGATTTCTTAGAATTTATCTCATATTTGGCTGCTGGAGGGACATCAATTTTTAGTAATGAAGTTTTTTTGGGGGGTAATCAGATCTTTGGCAAAGGGGACTGTCACTCTATTATATGGATAGGTAATATAAACATTCAATATATCTCTATCTTGTAGTAGGTGGCACATAAATATTAACAATTTAGATGTTTACTTATATATTTTCAGGTTTGAGGAAGGGGCAGAGCAATTCCGATTAGATGTTGCCAAGAATCCTAGTGACACAGAGGAGTCCATATGGTGCTTTCTCTGTGAAGCTCAGTTGTATGGCACAGTTGAAGCAAGAAGAAGATTTCTGTTGGTAAATAATTAGCACCCACACACGGCATTAACTTTGAGATTTGTTTTCATTAACTTTTTAATTCATGATCAATTGGAAGACACAAAATGAAGGACAATCATACTTACATGACAGTTCCCTTTGATTGTAGGTTGGTGTAGATCCAAGACCTGTTATGCGAGAAGCTTATAACCTGTTTAAGGAAGGTGGTGACCCAGAAAAGGTGCTGATTTTTCTCTCTTTGCAGAGTTTAGTCTTTAAAATGAGAGTCCAATTTGAACAAAAAGGATCTAATTTTCATCGTGTTTAACGTTTTTTTAATGAAAAAAGAGTGCTTTGGTGTGTTGAATTTAGTCAGACGAACAAATACTTTCAAAAATTTATCGGTTCTTTATGATTTCCAATAGTTGTGCACAGTTTGTCCGCACATATTTGTGAAATTTTTCCTTGTTCATCAGAGGGATGCCGTTAAGTGAAGTGGTTTTTTTTGCACACAGTTTGTTGAAGAATTTTCAACCGGGCAACCAAGCGAGTGTTTTTATTCTTCTCTCTATGCCGGGCTTTATTATGAATCACAGGTTTTGCTCCAACTCAAACAAATATGTCTTAGATATTTCAGGTTGCTTTAGATGTTAGTTTTTAGAATGAGTCAATAGTTGTTGCAATCTATAAAAACATCAAATAAAAAAGACTGATGATTTTCTTTAAAAAAAGTAATGGAAAGGTTAAAAGTTTTTGGGGTGAAATAGTTAAAATAAAAAGAAATTACACTTCTACCTTCATCATTCAAGAATGGGATTTCATTAGTTCATTCAAAGAACAAATTTTCTGATAATTTAACTCATTCAAAAATTCCTGCCACAACTCAAGGAGAGTCATCTGTTACAACCACACAATATACCCTTTTCATTTCTTTAATGCAGAAGGACATAGAAAAAGCAAAGGGTCATATTGTTGCTTCATGTCAATCTCTTTATGGCTCAAGGTTCGATGGGATATCTTATTATTCTTATACCCCCACCCCGACTCGCTATGCATAGACAAAAGCTTGAACCGGTTTTATTTGCAGGTCCGATGATTACATGGCTTCGCTTGCCAAGGTGCATTGCGGATGTCGGAGAAAATTATGGGATGGATGACATGGCACCCAAATGGTTTGACTTAATGTGCAACGCCAATGTTTAAACTCCTCTTCAAACCTTTCCACCAATTATCCAGCAAACCGTGCAACGGCAAAGTTTAGCATGCCGACATGGCACTCAAATGGTTTATGATTTTTTTTCGGTGATTTTTCTATATTTGCTACTTTTCTACCATTATTTTAAATATACGCATATTACATTAACTTACTTTTACATCAGTTTCAAGCGAATCGTGTGACATGGGGAATCGGTATTCTACTCCCATACCCTAATCCACAAGAACCTTATGATGATAATGTAGTTGATGACAATTAGAATGCTCTCCGCGCGGTAAGATTTTTTATGTTGAGCATTCCAATTTTTAATTGTCAACATAAAAAATCTTACCGCGCGGAGAGCATTTCAATTGTCATCCGCTACATTATCATCATAAGGTTCTTGTGGATTAGGGTATGTGAGTGGGATACTGATTTCCCCGTGTCAGGCGCTTCGCTTGAAACTCTGATATAAAAGCAAGTAAACGTAACATGCGTATATTTTAAAATAATGGTGCACAAGTAGCAAATATAAAAAAATCACCGAAAAACAAAAAAAAAACCATTTAGGTGCCATGTCGGCATGCTAAACTTTGCCGTTGCACGGTTTGCTGGATAATTGGGTGGGAAGGTTTGAGGAGGACTTTGAACTGATGTAATTAGCCACTTTCGAGAAAATTATTAGAAACAGTCGTCCTATGATATGTCACCAATTGGACTTAATATCACTGCTGGCCAGAGAATGTTGGGTTTATAGGCAGTCAGTCACTCAGTTTTATAGCGCTGTATAAGTAAAAATTTATGATGTTAAAGTGGTGTGAAAAACGGTTTCCCCTCTTTTTGTTTTTTTTTAACTACCACTTCCCTCCCTTTTTAGTCTTTCTCATTTACCAGTAGAATCATAAGGTCGAATTGTATTTTTTTCCTCTACATATTTATTAATTAAATTAAAATAGTCATGCCAATTCTTATATTGAAGTTATTTTTAAATATAAACTCCATAAATTTAAAAATAGTCTGTATTATTTTTATACTAATGGGCCGGGTTCCTATCACTTTTAATGAATAAAATGGGTGGTCCATTTTAATTTCCTCCGTCTACATCAATTTTAACCAAATTATTTTATTATTTCAAACTCTGAAAATCAAAGTGTGAATTTTAATTTGGGATGAAATAAGTACCGACTATATATCAATGTTACACCAAATATTGTGTTGCACAAGCACTATTTGTCTATTTGGTACAAACTTTTATCTATAAAGTGCAATAATTTAACATTGATGTATCTTTTTGTTGTATAAATTTCATGTATCTAAAGAAATGCTATTGTACATTTGCACTAAAAACAAAAATGAAATGCTATTTTATGTTTTAACTCAACAGAAACAATTACTCAAACACAATCGTTATTTGTGTTCTGCGAAACAAAGATGATGTCAATATTAGTGTTATTTGTGATATCTGATATGACAACCACATAGTTAGGGGTGATCTAGCCATCTAGAAGGTGTTTAAAGTGTATGCCTATATAGAGCTCCTAAATTTACAGTGCTCAATATTTTTATATGTTCATTTTTCTACTTATTTTATTTTTCCCCAATTACTTTTTTGAATGTATAAATATGTATTTAATTTTTATAGTTAAAGTGATATAAAAGCGATCATTAAAAATCAAATTTACCCCTAATTTTAAAACACAAGCACTCCATACTAAATAAAATAGGCTCCACAATATATTTTTGCACATTGCATTTATTATTATTATTATTATTATTATTATTATTATTATTATTATTATTATTATTATTATTATTATTATTATTATTATTATTATTATCGTTTCCAAGCCACGGCGAACTAATCCATATAAAGGCTAATGCTAAAGTTATACACAATGACATGTGTGTCTTTCTTCAACTATAATTTTTTTTATATAATTAGTCTCAGCATGTGATTGTAAAGTAGTGGGTAACGTACTTCAACTTTGTGTTATCCGAGTAATCCAACTTAAATACTCCAACATTTCTAAACATCACGGTTCTTTTGATTCGTGCTATTTTGACATTAAAACAATCTGGGTTACTTACGATGCTTTGTTGGTAAAAATAATCATTTTGTTACGTTCTTAATCTCCCCGCAACCTACCCGAGCTCCCCTAGATCGCTAATTTGGGCTTGGGAGGGGGGGAGGGAGGGTAAGATGGGTAGGAACAATTAAATTTACCAACGGAAGATCGCAAGTGACCTAAAATTAGGGGTGAGCAAGTACCGAACCGATACAAAAAATTTCCGAAAAAACCGTGACAACCAAACTGAAAAATACCGAACCGTACCGAACTAAATGTTCGGTATTTGTGAACGGTACGAAGTAACTTCACATACCAAAAATCCTGAACCGAATATATATACTAATATATTATAAATATAATAAACTTTTATATTTTTCATTGAATAATAAGTTTCTTTTTAAATTCGGCTCAAACTTTATTATGTGTACATTATACCTTTTATTTTAGTTTTAATATTTTGTGGAAGAATTTAAAATATCATTTTGTTATCATCTGTTCACTGTAGTTTGTGAGATATAAACTAAGTTTAATAAGCATTTCGTTCATTTAATTTTTGTTTTTTGTTTAAATATACTTTTGATTTATAAAAAAATAAATATTTTTGTGGCATTTTAAAAATAAATGAGGGGCGTATGTTTTCATCACGATTTATCTCGAAACTGATACTAAATCAAATTTCAGGATCGGGATTGATACGACGTAAAATCTTATACCAAACCGAAATATTTAGCCCGATCCATAAGAACCTTGCCCTTTTCTAAAATAAAAAATGTAATCACACGTAGTTACCATTGCCAATTTGCCATAAGGACGTGTTAGAGACTTACCCCGAGTGCCTCCTTATACTTAATTTGCCATATATGCACAAACAATTATAATTTCTGTGTGTCTATGTGATGATGCATGGGGCACCCCTTACCCTATCTTTATTCTTTGCCATGGTCACCTAGGAGCCAAATATCATTTTCGGCATATTCTCATTTATGCACGGCACATATTTTGAATATTCTTAGATACTCCTGTGAGGTAGCGTGGGCATATCATTGAACAAAAAGACATTATGACAATTTTAAATACAGATTATGAGACTTGAGTAAATAAAAAAAATATTAGAATCACAAATAAGAAAACGCAAAAAAATTATACGGAGTAAACTTATCATTTGTAAACTCTATTAAAAGGATAATCACAAAATTGTCTATTTAATATAATTAGGGTGGATATAGTAAAAAAGTTTTGGGGAAATTAACGAAAATTTGGACGAATCGAGAGTCGTGTATAACACTATCAGATTGAATATTTTGGTTGTTCACTCCAAAATTCAATCGGATAAAACTCGAAAGTATCAAGAACAAAATATGAGAATTGCTATAAAAATCCGAACTAAAATCCGACCATGGCCCGCGGGAATTTATAAACTTGCGGTAGAGGGAAAAAACACCATTGCGTCTCTTTCCCAAGTCACGCGATCCTTCGCGCGGAAGTTCTTCAAAATTCGGTGCTATCCAATCGGAAGTTTTCTTTTAAAGAAAATTCGAAAATTAAAATTCCAATTGAATTTTTTTAACATCGCACCGAGCCCAAAATAAAAAATTTTCGACCCCAGCCAGGGGCTGCCCCTTGGACCCCGCAGGGGCTGCCGCCCCTTGAACCCTGCTCGGGGGCGCTGCCCCTTGGAACCCCCGATGTAACGGGATTTTTATTGTAACAAACTCAATGAAGCGTGCACTCCGCACCACCAAACTTCTTTAATGATTATTAGGATATCATTGGTCGTAGTTTTTCCAATTACACTATAATATACTACCTTCGTCCCGGAGTATTCGTCCAGTTTTGACTTTTGGAACTGTTCATCTAAGCACTTTGACTCATCAAATTTTCTCAATATGTAAGTCTGAAAATAGTCATGTGTGATCTTGTTTGATTTATCTTAACATATAGATTATTAATATATAATTCCTATAATTTTTCAATATACAAATTACAAAATAAAATAGATTAAAGAAGTGTATTGGATGGTGTGTAAAAATGAAAGTGGACAAATACTCTGAAACGGAGGTAGTATAACAAAAAGGAGTGAATTTAGCGATACCTTTAATTTTAAATGATATTCTTTTGCATTTTTAAGTGAATTAACTTAGACTTAAATATTCCCTTCATCCTTGAAGGAACCTTATAACTTGATTTATAATAGTTTTAAAAAGTTTTAAGAAATGAAAAATGTACTACTAGAATAATAATAATAATATTCTTACGGAGTACATTTTTGAAAAACTATATTTAAAGATCTACAAAATTAAAAGTAAAATAATGTAATTATTAAATGGAAAACAAACACACTCAAACAAAGTGAATAAATTTGACCACTTCAATAATTGGGTTACTTTAAACTTGAGGGGTTTCAATGATATTGGAACCCCACGATGAGTAGGAGCCACTGCAATATCTCATTCCTAAACATGATTCCTCAATTTTACGATGGAGGGACAAAGGATTTACGATGGAGGTAAGGCCTATGCCTATCAATTTTACTAGAGGAATGCTAGGGGTATACCAAATCCCATTTGTACACTAACAATCATAGCAATAAATTTCTTTTATATTTTTAATTCTTTTTTTTTCTTGCTTTTGTGTGGTGGAGATGGAGGGGGTATAAATGAGGTACAAAAATTGGTGTACCCTCCCATTTTTTTATTTTACTAACTAGGGAACATCTCAAAAACTTTAAAAATAGGAAAATGCTAGGGGTACACCAAAAGTGTACCCCAAACATCCCCACCCCCTCCATCACCACAAAACAAAGGCAAGAAATTTTCAAAAAAATTTAAAAATAAAAACAAAATAAAATGAATGGTTAATAGGAGGATGGTGTACATTTGGGGTACATTTTTGGTGTACCCCTATGAATCCATTTATTCCGTGGGGGAGAAAAGTATATACTGGTGGAAGGATTGTGAAAGACAAATAATTTGAGGAGAGGAATGTTGAGGGAGAAGTTGGCCGGCCGGTCGACGGTGCCGTCTTCGTCGCATTCGCTCCTACTCAACGCCGTGTCGTCGGAGAGAATTTTCGACGAATTGCCGGAAGCGAGGATCGTTTCCGTGTCCAGACCGGAGACCGCCGCCGGTGACATCAGCTTCAGCCCCTTTCTCTTCACCTACACTATTCAACTCCGATACAAACAGGCATCAAACATCTTACCTGCATACAAAACTCCTTGCAGTCAATGCTCTTTTATTTGATAATGTGTATGTACTCCCTCATTTTTGACTTCCAGTTCAAGTGGATCTTAGTGAAGAAGGCTTCACAAGTTATTTACCTACACTTTGCACTCAGGAAGCGCTCAGTAATTGAGGAATTCCATGAAAAACAAGAGCAGGTTTTCTGGCTTTAATTTAGTTGTCTCTTATTTCTTCGATCTCATTAATGCCCAGAGCTCTGAGGTTTTGAGTATTGTGTGCATTGAATAGAAGTGTTTTATAACTTTGTATTGTCTCATTTGGATTTGTCATGGAAGGTTAAGGAGTGGCTTCACCACATAGGATTAGGAGAACAACAATCTGATGATGATCCTGATGATGGAGCTGCCCTTGCATATAATGAAAGTAGTGTTAGAAACAGGTGGAGGAAAATTTCTTTGTCCCCCTTTACCCACTTAGGTCATGTTCCTTTGGGTTGAAATTTCAGAACGGGAAGGAGTTGGAAGAAACTAGGAGTTTGGAAAAAAATTGGAAGGAGTTTCAAAATGTTGGAAAAATTTAAGTGTTAAAGAGTCACTCAATTTAATGATCACTCAAATAAATATGTAAGGAAACTCTATTTTTTTGGATAAAAAAGAATTCATCATTTTTCGTGTTTGAGGTCGTATGTTATAAATTTGGATACATAATGTTATTGTGTATTCATCATACATAAATACCTTTTTTAAGTCGTTGTTGGAAGAAACTTGAAGGAGTTCGAAAAAGTTGGAAGTTAATTTTTCAACCCAAAAGAACAGAGCCTAAATAGGTCATAGTGATTAGTGCCTCGTAATGCAATAACAGTTGTGTTTCTGGCACACAACTTGATAATGCAGGCATGTTCCATCTAGAGCAGCTTTACCAATCATCCGGCCTTCATTGGGGAGGCAACATGCAATCTTGGAGAGAGCAAAAAGTGTGATGCAAGATTATTTGAACCATTTTCTGGGGAACTTAGATATTGTAAATTCTAGTGAGGTGGAATTAGATTCTTTTGACTTTTTAGGACAGTTACATGTTTCTTTTTCTCATGAAAGAATTTAGAGTAAAAAATTGAAGTGAATTTTGATCATGAATCATTGCCAAAAGGGAACATAGATATTAGATGTTAGAGGCATTGCATAGTTCCATAGTTGCATACTTGAGCGCTTTCTTATATGTTATCTGGGGTACAAATGCTATTTAATCCCTAGAGTGATGCACAGCTGTAGTTGGCTGATGGTAAAACTTTTGGAGGAATTTTTAGAGGCATAAATGAACATGAGATTGCACATTTTTCTTTGACTGCGATTGCACACTATGTTTGGTTCATGGCATTTGGAAGGAAAAGAAAGGAAAATGATTTTCTCTCATTTTCTTCACCAAACTGGGAGGAATTTGATTCTCTCCTCTTAGTACATTTTGCATTCTCATTTTCTTTTCCTTCCACTTTTCTTTTCTTTTCCTCTGTAACCAAACAAGAAAAACTGTTTTTTATCTCATTTTCTTTTCTTTTCCCTTTAAAATTTCTTGAACCAAACATAGTTAAGATGACCTAAACAGGAATATGGAATTCTAGTAGATGGCCCTGACTGGATTGGATTTAAGGCTCGGTTGAGTCATTACAATATACATTTTATGATTACAACAATCAATAAAAAGCTTTCACTTGGCTATTGGTACATTGAGTGTGCAATTTTTGAAGGTTATTTCATTTTCATACGCAAGAATCCAAGAATTTAAAGTTCTGTTTTTTAACTGTCACTTTGTATGTGTCTAAAGAGTCTCTTTGTGGTGAAACACGGGAGAGACTACTATTTTCCTATCTGTTTATGTATTGAGTTTTGAAAGTATGCTACAATAAGACAGATTTAGTAAAGGTATTCAAAATCTGTAATAAACTTGTATTGTTTTTCATTACTTGTCTTGCCTGTTGATAGGTTTGCAAGTTTTTGGAGGTCTCCAAGTTATCATTTTTACCTGAGTATGGACCAAAGCTAAAAGAGAGCTATCTAATGGCTAAGCATTTACCCTATGTTTCAGAGAAGAAAGAAGACTCCAGATGTTGTACGTGTTGTGGGCTTGGTTGTTGCAAGAATGATTGGCAAAAGGTGTTTTCTCATCACGGGGTCTTTCACATGCTTTTCTCATAATGTCTTTTAGGTTCAATCAAAAGACACTTTGCAAAATACTACACTATGTTTGATTCAAGGAATAAGTAATGGAAAGAAAAAGGAACAACTTTCTCATATCTGACATCCATCACTAGAATACTGGAAACAACATTTTGTGGTTCCTAAACAAAATATGGCATAACCATTTCACAGGCAATGCAAGAAACATTTCAGGTCAATAGCATTTTGGCTGCGTTTCGTTTGCCTGATCTTATCAGATTTTTTGAAGATCTGATCTGGTCTGGTCTGATTTGATTGTAGTTATAATTAAAGCTGTTTCTGATTTGATCTGGTCTGATCTGATCTGATCTGATTATAATAAGAATAACTTTTAAGCAGAAAAAATAAGTTGAACGGAACGCTGCCTTTATCATTTTGGACAAATACTCAGCAAATATAAGCATCACTGCGGCACAAGACCGTACCTTTGATATTCTGCTTTTAGATTTTCAGGTTATTGGTTTTTGCCTTGTATATACTCCGTATATACTATATAGCATTAATAAACACTCTATAATCAACAAAGATTTGGAACCATTTTGATCTTCCAATTTGTTTCAATATAAAAAGTCACTTAAAACTTGCAAATATATCACAACTTATCTTAGCATGCCAACGTTACCCTTATATATTATTCTTTGTTTTCTGAAAGTGTTAAAGCATACGGAGTAATAAATATTTGTGGTAACATTTGCAAGAAATGATTATTGCATCATGTGCTTGCCAAGTTCTACGGGTAGAAGATAAAAAGAACACAAAAATCTTGAATATGTGGACAGTTAAATAGGAAGAGAGGGAGTTGTGTTTAATGTAGTTTTATTTCTTTCTTATTTTAATGGGTTTGTCTGGCTCATTAGAATCTACCAATTTGTGAAATCACTATATAAAGCATTCATCATCCTCATTGCTGCTTGTCCAATAATAGGTGTTTGTTTTAGTTTATTCTTCTAATTATTCTCTTATTGCATTGTAGGTTTGGGCTGTTCTGAAGCCCAGTTTCTTAGCTTTACTAAGAAGCCCCCTTGACACTGAACTATTGGACATATTTGTTTTTGATCCCCTTCCTGCTGGTAATAGTAAGGGTGAGGTGCAAGTAAGTTTGGCCGAGGAGATACGGGATCACAATCCTTTGCGTTATTCATTCAAGGTCAGCCGCTGGACTTGTTTGATCACTATTCACTAGTATTTTACTTGCCTTCAACTACACCATCCACTAGTTTTAAAGTTTTATAACCCAAAAAATCAAAAGATTTGTTTTTCCTTTTCCTTATGTAGCCTAACTATGTGCACCCCTCTGATTCCTTGGTGGCATCATCATCATGATTTACCATTATGTCGCTACTACCAGAAAGTGATGTCAATTGATTGCCATTACACCCTATCTACACAAACCATTTATATGTTTTCCTCATAACTAAGGTGCAAGGTACCAATCATGAATGACATTTTCTGGTACTGGTTTAGTTCCATTTGCATGATCTTTGAAGTGGAGTTTTTAAAGTGCAGGAATGTAAACTATAGATGTATTCCCGTTATGGGGGTGTAATGTGGATTTGACTAAATAACAAAAATAACAACAATAATAACTAATCCAGTAAAATCCCACAAGAGTAGGGTAGGGTCTGGGAGAGGGTGTGTATGCAAACCTTACCCAGTGGCGTCTTTAGGGCTAAGCAACCAAGGCAGGGGCCTAAGGCCCCAAAAAACTTGGGGCCCCAAAATTTTATAATGCGTTTATGCATATGCATGTGTGTGTGTCTTTGTGTTGTGTATTCTTTTTATCAGTAAATTGATTTAACCAATCATCGGTCATACACGAATTAGGAATTTTTGAATTTTTGTTGGGGATAATCATTTAGTATGACATACCCTCTTTTTCAAAGTGATTTCCAAAAACCTACAAAAGATAGTGCCATTAAATAGCTATTGAAAATTTACAAGATCTTTTAGATTTTTGAAAAAATATAAGGAGATAGGATTTGAGTCTTCTAAAATATAATAAAGAATTGTATGTGAAATAAAAATAAACCATAAATTTAATGAGAGGCGAGTCACTCGTATATAGAAATAGTTTGATGAAAATGTTGACAACGAAGTGGTAAAATCTCCCTAAGAAGCTTTGAAGGCAGATTATTTCTTGTGCATAGTAAATTAATTAATCTCTTCATTTGTGAGGTGAAGATTTGAGCAATTTTAGAAGTATGAAATAGATTGATTCTGCATTTTTATTTAATGGGAAAAAATTGAGGTCATTGGAGGATGCTGACTTAAACGAGTGATGCTGAAATTAGTGAAATCTAGAGAAGCTGTTGACAGACAATGAAAACTCTGATCTTGATGCTTCAAATCTATTTTTAGGATTAGAGTCCGTTTGGTATACAGAATTGATGGAATTGGAATTGAAATTCCATGGGATTCAATTCCATAGAATTGAACTCACCCATTTCAATTCATTTATTGCACTATCAATTCCAAATCTACATAATTTTTGTGCTAACAAACACCAGAATTGGAATTGAAGTCCTCAATTCCAATTCCATAGTTTGAATTCCATGTATCAAACGGGGCCTTAAGAATTTTAAAAGATATGGTGAACGTCTATGCGTGGGATGAAGTTGATGCATTAGTTTATCTTCTAAAAGTTGAATGTTTTTCAAATACATTTGTTGCTTTTAGAATAATCTTTACAATTCCGGTGAATGTTGCATTTGATCGAGAAAAATGCATCACGGATGACAAGAGGAGTAGATTTTTTATTTCTTTGATGAAATTGTAAGAAACATGATATACTTTAGTTTTTTGCTTTTATTAATAGCTATCTTGTAGCAATGATTTAATTTGAATTTGTTATGATTATCTTTTGTTTAAATTGAAATATTGTTCTTTATCATTTTCCTTTAAATATAAGGACCCCCGATTTAATTTTCGCCTAGGGCCCCACAAAAGCTAGTAACAGTACTGACCTTACCCTTGCTTGGAAGTAGAGGGACTCTTTCTAAGAAACATAAACAAAGTGAACATCGTAGCACGAACAAAGTAAGAGCACAAACACAAGAACCACACATAACGACACTAGCAACTAAACCCTACGCACACAAAGCACACAAAAACATCCTACAATCTAAGGCAAAAAATGCAGCAGCAAAAACTACAAACTAAGGCCCAAAAGTCCGCCCAATTGCTCTAATCCGAGCTCTCCAAGGGTTCTTATCTAAGACCATATTCTCGGTAAGACCTTGTTGGGAATTTGATTAAGTATTCAAAAAGAAAGAAGAAAGAAGACAAAGAAGATAAAGAAAAGAAAGAAGAAGATACAGATGGTAGATCATCCATCATGCATGTATGTGAACATGTGGTGTTGATGGGGTCATTGTCATTTTGTTCTTGGTTGGAAAGTTATTGCAGGACACTCCCTATATAATTGGGTGTCTTAGAGAGAGTGTGTGGTTTTACACACCAAGGTAGAGAGAGAAACATGGGAGGATACACAAGAATACCACTGGGAAAATCCAAAGGGGTCTTGGTGAGTGTGGTGAGTGTAGGGAGTAAGTGGTATTTAGTTACTCGGAAAAATACATCCGGGAATAGGGTGTAGAAAGATCTGTTTATGAGTGTCTAGAATTTAGCCTTGTAAATAGAGGGAGAGTTTTTTTGTATATTGTCCTGAAATAGTGGAAATGTTTTTTCTCTCATATATTCTTCTTGTGTTTGTTCTCTCATTTTTCTGTTGTTCTCAATATTTTCGATGTCTTTCGCGCTTAAAATCCCAACAGATCTTGAGCTCTTAAGTCCTGTCTAATTACCTCCTTCCAACTCTTCTTAGGTCTATCTCTAACCCTACTCATTCCCACTACCTCAAGCCTCTCGCATCTCCTTATTGCAGCCTGTGCACTTCTCCTCATTGGAGTTAGTGATCACCGGGTTTCTATCTCTAACAAACTCCAATGGTGAGAACCCCCACATTCCTGTCACAACTCCCTCCCCTTGCACATCATCATTCCAATATCTTAGTCCCAGACTTGTTCTTTGTTTATTTTTGTTTATATTGTTTTTGGTTTCAAGTGTTCTATGCTCTCTCACAATTTGAATTCACAAAAGATCTCTTGCGGGAATCGTAGCATAAAATTCAGAATTGCAAGTCATGCTAAAGTTAAAGACTGGGTTTCTGCAATTAATGACGCTGGTCTAAAGCACAAAGAAGGTTGGTGTAGCACTCAACGCTTTGGTTCTTTTGCTCCACAAAGAGGATTGGCTGAGGATGGAAGTCATGTTCAGTGGTTTATAGATGGAAAGGCTGCATATGAAGCAATTGCTTCATCAATAGAAAATGCCAAATCAGAGGTTCCACTCTTTGACTTACTTAAGGCCTGATTCTGAATGGTTGCTAGTTCAGTTTTTATTTAATGATTTTAAAAGTTAGTACATAATATGCGCTTATACTAATCATGTTAATTTCTTAAACTGCCAACAATCAAGCAGTTTTAGTTTTAAGAATCTGGTTTTAGTTTTCTTAAAAATAAAACTGAGAACTGGCAACCACTTCAAATGAGGCCAAGAATTCTGGTTTCTTAATGATAAAGGAAGATGGAATCATGGAAACGACTGCATGTTGTGCCACTTGTGTGCAGATATATATTACTGGATGGTGGCTTTGCCCTGAACTGTTTGCGGCGGCCATTTCAGAACCACGGTTCCTCTAGACTTGATGCTTTACTTGAAGCAAGAGCTAACCAAGGGGTTAAGGTGGAATACAATTTGATTTCTTCCAGTTCATATTTTTTACTCAATGAAATAGACAGTTTGTAGTTTTTAATATATAAGATTTGCGGATTACTTTTACAAGTTCAATATGTTAGCGAACAAAACAATAGCAAATATCTTAATTCACTCATGAGATTTTCCATGCAAAAGGAAATATTTTATGTTGATGATGGTTATAGAATTTCCTCACTATGCCTTCTCACACCATTCTCGGCGAGAAGGTCATGTGGCAACCGGGTTGAATTTTTTCTACAATGTTTCTTTTCATGAATTTTTTTTGTGTTAACTAATCTTAGCTTTATAAAATTCATGCCACCAACCCCAAGTAGTTGAGATTAAGGTGATGATTATTTTTTTTCTTATTTATTAATTGATTATTAATCTTCCGCGTTAGGTATGGTTGGTCGAATCTCAGTAACATTAGGCTTTAATAATATGCAGATATACATTCTCCTGTACAAGGAGGTTTCTATTGCTTTGAAAATCAACAGTTTATACAGTAAAACAAAGCTTCTATGCATTCACAAGAATGTGAAAGTGCTACGCTACCCTAATCATTTTTCTGCCGGGGTCTACTACTGGTATGACTCATTAGGATTGTCTACTCTTGAGCCTGTTGGTTAAATTTCCTATCAAATTGGCATATAAAACAGTACCTACGTTCAAATATCTATTCCCAAAGCTAGGAATTTCTCTTCTCGAGTGTCGTATACTCGTATGCAAACAAGAAGTGCTGCTCGTTTACTTGCAGGTCACACCATGAAAAAATTGTTATCGTGGATCATCATATCGCTTATATTGGAGGATTGGATTTATGCTTTGGGCGTTACGATACAGTTGAACATAAAGTTGGTGATAACCCTCCTCTGTTATGGCCTGGAAAGGACTATTACAACCCAAGGTGAATACATTCTTTTATCTCTCTTAAAACTGGATTATGATAGTGAACTTGCTGAATGATTCAGTCTGAACCAGATTATGAAGGTGAATTCATGCTTCATTTATGGATTCTTCCTATCTGGATTATGCAGAGAATCTGAACCAAATTCTTGGGATGATACAATGAGAGATGAGCTGGACAGAGAAAAATATCCACGCATGCCTTGGCACGATGTCCAATGTGCTATTTGGGGCCCACCATGCCGAGACATTGCAAGGCATTTTGTTCAGCGCTGGAATCATGCTAAGGTTTATTTTACTCCACTTGGCTGTTAATTAGTATAGGACTCTATTCCTTCAAATATATATATATATATATATATATATATATATATATATATATATATATATATATAGAACTCTATTTTACTGATATAACTTTTTATGTTTCACAGAGAAGCAAAGCTGCGAATGAACAAGAAATACCCCTCCTGATGCCACAACACCACATGGTTATCCCACATTACCTGGGCAGAAGCCAAGAAATAGATGTTGAAATTAAGAATGCTCATGCTAGTGCAGAAGACTTATATAGACTGGGCGTGTTTCGTTCAGAGTCGCCACCTGAAAGCATACCATTGCTTTTGCCCCAGGAAGCTAACAGCAGGCAGGCTTCCAATCTAAACAACACACAATATGGTATAGAGTCTACCCATATCTCTTTTCATCTGTTGATGAAAGTTTGTGAGGTTTCTAGTTATATTTACTTCTATACTTGACTTCAATCTTAGATCTGGAGATGAAAATTTTCAGATGTCATTCATCGAGTGGATCCACTAGTAGATCAAATAACTAAACAGGGAGATTGGTGGGTAACACAGGAGGGAACTGAATTTTCTGATAACTTAGCAGACGTTGGTCCTCGGACCCCTTGTTCTTGTCAAGTTGCTCTCTCTCTTTCCGTCTCTCTTTCCTTTTTTAAATAAAATATATGTTTTGCTGTTTTTTAAGAATTTATGAATTTAATGTTTAATGGATTGTAGATTATCAGAAGTGTTAGCCAATGGTCAGCGGGAACAAGATATACAGAGGATAGCATTCATACAGCTCATTGTTCACTCATTGAAAATGCTAAGCACTTTGTCTTCATTGAGGTATTGAAATAATAAAGTTTATGATCTATATGTGTCCATCATTTGAATCATTGTTGTAGCATCAACGGGCCCTTATTGTATTATCGGTTGGCAGGGATCAAGGGTTCATTTACTTTAATAAAAAACGAAAAGAAAAATACTAACAGAGTATTTTATAAATGGATGTTGAAGTGAAATACCCAAGTGGAGCAATTTAAATTATCTGCTCTAGATCATATGTAATTTAGGTACAACATTTGATTTTATTTTCTTTAAATGCCCACTTCTAGAACCAGTTTTTTATATCTGGCCTTTCTGGAGATGAAATCATTCAAAATCGAGTACTTGATGCTTTATACAAACGCATAGTGGTGGCATACAACGAGAAAAAGTGTTTCAGGGTAATTATTGTCATCCCGCTCTTACCAGGGTACCAGGTACTTATTCCCTCTCAATATAATGATAATAATAAAGTCTCACTTAGTTTTTTTAGTAAGTTCATGTTTAATGTTTAGTTCTCCAAACTACAGGGAGGTTTGGATGACATTGGAGCAGCAACTGTGAGAGCCATAATGCACTGGCAATACCGAACAATTTGCAGGGGACAACACTCTATATTGCACAATCTTTATTCCTTTCTTGGTCAAAAAACATCTGATTATATATCTTTCTATGGTCTCAGAACCTATGGCCAACTTTCTGATATCGGCCCATTGGTCACAAGCCAGGTACTGCTCTGTTTTGAAGCACTGAAGCAATCTGACAAATGACAAGTACGACGGCATTTTAAGTTTTAATGGTTTGCTTTTGGAAGTATGCTAGATTTCTTGCCTTCATAGTCTTTTGCAATACAATAGACTTTGTTTCCCACTCTGTATTGATCCTTTTATGAACGGTTCTCTTCTAAGAGCAGGCCATTTACCTTATACGCCCCAAACAAGAAACTCTGGTTTTTAGGTTGTTTCTATTATTCATCAAGTACCATGGACTGGTTTCAAATTCTTTTCAATTTCAAGTGCAGGTTTATGTCCATAGTAAAGTTATGATAGTAGATGACCGTGTAGCCTTGATTGGATCATCAAATATTAATGACAGAAGCTTGTTAGGATCTAGAGATTCTGAGGTAATTCATCCTTGATCAAGGAGTACTTAGTTTGTTGATCTTACTAAACCCGATCCACTATCATCGGCACATGTTTTCGACTTGGAGATATTCCTATATCTTTTCTGATGAGAATAAGATTGCCTCTCATGGGGTTTCAGATTGCCGTAGTCATTGAGGATAAAGATTTTATTGATTCTTCAATGAATGGGAATCCATGGAAGGCTGGAAAGTTTGCATTTAGCCTTCGGGTGTCGTTATGGACAGAGCATTTGGGTCTACACTCCGGAGATGTTAGTAATGCTTTCATTATTTGAACATTATGCACAATTCACACAAAGAGAAAAACACATATTTATATAGTCGGAAAGATGTGCATATTAAGATCAATGTACCATTTTCCAGATTTTTCAAATCAAGGACCCTATAGCTGACACTACATACAAAGATTTGTGGCTTGCAAGAGCTAAGGTAAGAGTTTTTAATTTACAAAATTGAACTCTTAAGTCTTAGGGCTTGTTAGGGAAATGAAAAAAACATGCAAGGAAAATTATTTTCTTATGTTTGCTTTTCCCATGTGAAAATGTAGAGGAAAATATTATGACTAGTTTTCTTAAAATATTATATAGACATAGACTGCAACAAGAGTAAAAGTAAAACGGATGCTTAAATTGTGTTTATGGTTGTGCTTATTTTATATTTTCCCCTACATTTCTTTACTTCTATTTTTCTCTATGTTTTTCTTTTGCATTCCTCAGTGTTTTCCAGGCTCCTTACAAGACCCCAAGGCTTATGAGTTATAAGCCCCAATCTTCAATCTAGCTAATATTATTATGCCGGGTAGAATATAATACCTTTCCTGGGTCTACAACCATAAATTTGAGCTTGCGGTATCAGAGTCTTGTTGACCTAGAGGTCACAAATTTGAACCTCACTCTCACCCAGTTTTAAATTTCTTTTAGTTGAAAACAAATCTTGCATTCTTGTCTGCACGGGAGAGGCATGTTCGAAAGGTCACAAGTTTGAACCTCACTGCCACTTACACTATGTTTGGTTCAAGGAATTGGAGAGGGAAAGAAAAAGAAAATTAGAAGGAAAACATTTTTCTTGTTTGGTGAGAGAGAAAAAGAAAAGAAAAATGAAAGGAAAAGAAAATAAGAAATAAAATGTACTAAGAAGAAGGAAAACCAAATTCCTCCCATTTTGGTGAGGAAAATGAGAGAAAACCATTTTTTTTCTTTTCCTACCAAATTCCTCGAACCAAACATGGTGTTAGTTTTTAAAATAATTAAGGTGAAAACAAATCTTGCGTTCTCGTCTGCATGTTAGAATACAAAATCTTTTTAGGCATAGAGGTCACAAGTTCTAACCCCACCGCCACATAGTTTTAATAAAAAATTAGGGTGAAAACAAATCTCACATTAATGGGAAATTTTACCTCTCTGGAACCAAATAACAACTGGGTATCTTCAAAGTAATAACTTCTGAGCATCTATTTTCTCTTTTATTCACAGTTGAATGCCAAAATCTACCAAGAGGTCTTCTCTTGCGTCCCCAACGACCTCATCTACACAAGGTACACAACCCCTCCAACATCTTATCTTTATAATAACATTTCTAGTGCTATTAGCATAGTAAACACTCAAAAGTTGACTCGGGCCCTTTAACATCTTATTTTTAAGGCAGTGTTTCCTATAGAGGAAATTGATATTCATGGAAAAAGTTTCCCAATGAAAATTCTTTTTTTACAATAACATTTTCTAGTGCTATTAGCATAGTAAACACTCAAAACTTGACATTACATGCCTATGAAAAACCACTGCATTTCAAGGAGTTGGTAAGTATCATGCTGTCAGCCTTTGCTGCCTTCGACGGAAAACAATTTTCTAAAGATTCTCCCCCCTGCTTACCCATTTTCCAACACACACAAAAATTGATTTTCATGGAAAACAATTTTCACGTGTGCCTAAAAAAGGTTTCTTTGGCGGCTTTCAAGTATTTCAAATGTGTGTCAATCAAACATTCCCATAAAATACAGGCATGCACTCAGACAATGTAAAGAGAAACTCAAGCACAACACAGTTGACTTAGGAGTTGCGCCAGAGAAACATGAAGATTTCGTGAATGAGGAAGCCGGCTTAGCGAAACCAATCGACAGGTTAAAGTCAATCAAAGGACACGTTGTTTGCTTTCCCTTAGAGTTCATGCGCGAAGAAGACCTGAGACCAATATTTATTGACCGTGAGTTCTATACTTCTCCTCATATCTTTCATTGAGCTTTTGAAGATGGTGAGTGTGCATTATTTATTTTATTAGGACTTCCACTTAAGCCTATCATAATTCATGTATAGTTCATCTTTTCAATTGTGTGTATAGATTGACAATGGGGAGATTTTCACTTATGTATATATTGCTACTCAACATTCTGTTGTAAAATAAGAAAATTGGTGATTATTTGTTACTAGTATTAATTGATGAATGTAATGCTTCATTTTTCAATAAAAACCTTCTTATTTCGGTTCAATGGTTAATATTCTCCTTTAAATAAATGAACTATATAAATAGGGAAAACTACCAAAGATAGGACCTAATTTTCTCCTTTGATCCAATCATTTTTCTATGTGGCAAATGTGGAGTATATGAGTGGTGGCCTTTAGAGCGTTAACAGAATGCACGCGCCAGTTATTATCGATAATAGTTATTCTGTTGATGCATGCATGCAACAGAGAATAGTCGTCACTGAATGTTTCACATTAACGACTTCAATGTGTGTTGACTATATAACCTTGTTGTAAATAATGTGTATATGTTTTTTTATATAACCATTTTTTTTTTGTATTTGTGACTATTTAAATCACAAAATATAGTATTCCCTCCGTCCCAAATTATTTGCAACGTTTGCTTTTTCAGCAGTCGCGGGAACTTTTGTTTATTTCTACGTTTTCATTAGTTATTTGATAAAATAAAATATTCTTGACACCTCTTATTTTGAATAACTTTTCATGTAGTTTTTTGATATGTAAATTTTATTTTTTATTTCTATACCAATATGTAAATAAAATGAATTGAAAAAACTTGATATTTTGCCTCAGAAATATAAGTGTGGCAAATATTTAGGAACGGAGGGAGTATCTTTTTTTTTGAAAGAATAGTGTCTTAATTCTACGTATAACAATAATAATGTATTAGAGGTTTACATCCTAGCAAGCTTATATAAGACTGTTAAGAAAAAAAATATTTAAATTTAGAAATAACTGGTATATAACAAACATTAGATGTCTTTTTTGGAATAAATTAGATGTCTAATGTTAATTCTACACAAGGTCTCCAAACAATTTGGACCAACCCTGATACTCGAGTAAACAATTACGGAGTAATGTGTAATCTAGTGGTACTTTTGCCATCATAACCAATGCTCTCCTCGTCCAAAAAAAATATCAAGTGTGCTATTCAAAAATTACAAAAACTTTATTTATTTATTTATACGTTTTCATCGATTATTTGATAAAATAAAATATTCGTGCCACCTTTTGTTTTGAGCAAGTTTTGACTTACTTTTTAAATAGTGTAAATTTTATTTCTTATTTTTATAGCAATCTTTAAATAAAATAAATTAAAAAATTTGTGTCGGACGAACTGGCCGGTTTTTATCGGTTCACACCGGTTCGAACTAGTTCAGCGCACAATGCGGTCCAAAGGGCCGGACCGAACCGGTTGACCTCCGGTTTGTCGGTTCCTAGTTCGAACCGTCCGATCCGGTTTTCAAAACTGTGGGTTGGAGTCTTATTTCGGTTTATAAATCACGTCTTGCTTCTATTTTTGTCTTTCTCTTTTTTTGATGAACATAAATAAACAATGCTATTTGGGCACATGAACTCAATATCTTTACCCCCAAACATGCCCTAAAATCTAGATTGCATCCCCTAAAATGAACTCTATCTATCATTAAATAATCTTGGTGTTTTCTTATTTTGGATGTACCTAAACAATTTTTACTTTCATTAAAAGGGAGGAACTATATGCTAATTTTGTTTTCTCTCTCATCAAATTCTAATAATTTTTTTATTTTATTTTTCAACACTTTTTTTAATTTGCATAAAAGTCTATGTGAATTCTTACATGTTCTTAAATCCATGCTTATTTTATAAATTTTAGTGTTTCATATTGTAAAAGAATTGAGCTTTAAAAAAAAGAAAAATAAAAAATTGACCATGAAAAATATTAGAAGATCCATATTTTACATGTTAACCTTAGGACCACGAAAGAACTACTCAAAAGTCAAATACTCCCTCTGTCCAGAAATGATCTTCCTGTTTTATTTTTCTTGGTCAAAGTTTGTAAACTTTGACTCCGATATATATATAAAAATTGTATTATTATATAAATTTAGTATCAATATATTTCTATTAAAATGTAGTTTTAAAATATCAATTTTTTATAAAATATATTTATTTAAAGATATTACTCCTTCCGTCCTAATTTTTTCTTCCCAGTTTGACTTTTCCCCATTTTTAATTTTTGGCTTTGACTTCAAATTTTACCCTCCTTAAAAAAGATTTTTTGAATTTTTTTTTGCAATCATTCAAAATATAGAGTTAGAAGATAATTGGTGTAAATACATGAGGGTATTAATGTCATTTGTCATTCTTTTTTTTCTAATGGGAAGGTAGTTTTAGAACGGGGAGAAAAGGAGAAGTGAGAAGAAAGTTTTAGGACGAAAGGAGTAATGTTTAAAGTACAATATGAAACACTATGAAAAGTCAATTAGAAAGAATATTTTAAGGAATAAAAGTTTACATCGAGGTGGAATTGTGGAAATGTGGAATATGTATTCGGTAACCTAATGTGGCCGAGAAATGAAACCCCTCAATATATTCCGAACTCGCGACAAATTGACGAGAAGAGATTGCGATTCGAGACGCGCGTCAGATCGCAATGAAAGCGGACGTGACAATGAATATCCAACTGGATTTGAATTTCCCATTTCGAATCCGCAACTCAACCAGCTTTCTCCTCCACTTCACGCAACGATAGGTACGTTTATAAGCTCATCAGCTTATCGCCACTGACAGCCCCGGAGAACTGATAAGCACGCCCTCTTATCAGCGATGGACTTCTGGCAAAATGGCATCGAAGATAGCGAGACCAAGTCCTTCCCCGCCCCACCACATATATACCTCTCCCCGTCTTCTTCCTCCATTCTTCTTCTTCTTCTTTCTCTCTGCTTCATTATTTCTCTTTTTGGCCTTTTGTGGGGGGAAACCCTAGAAATTCTTGCTGGCTAGGCTCTCTGCTGCTTCGATCTGTGGATTCCGAGCTCATTTTGCCTGGATTTGGTGTAAAGGTGACGTGATTGGAGTTTCAGGTGGTTGAAATGTCCTCTCTTAGCAGAGAATTGGTCTTTCTCATACTTCAATTCCTGGAGGAGGAGAAGTTTAAGGACTCCGTTCACAGGTCTGCACTATTCTCCATTTGATCTATCGGTTTGTCTTTTCCATTTTTGTTTTGCGGCATCACTTTTTACTGTGTTTTCTTATTGGGTTATTCTTACTCATTTGCAGAGTATTTCAATTTTTTTCAAAAAACTTTTAGTATCTTCCCCTTAGCTAAAAATAGCTATGTTTTTATGGATTTTGGGTTAACGTGTTAATATATGGCTGCGAGGTTAGAAGTGTGAAAATGAGCTAATTTTAGTGCTGATTGATGTGACGACCTGTGGGGGCAATTAGGGGGAAATCATAAATGTCCTTTTTAATCAGTGGGGAGTTAAAGATTTGTACTGTAATCTACTCCCAATTGGAGCGTTAATCATGATACAGAGTACTATCAAAATTTTCCGTTGTGGCGAATATGTAACCATATATCTTCTTGTTTGAGCTGTTTTTACACTGAAAGGTGTGATAATGTGAGATTGTTGTGGTTAATAATTTGTTTGATATGGAGTATTTTCTAGACTTGAGCAAGAATCGGGGTTTTTCTTCAATATGAAGTACTTTGAGGAGAAAGTTCATGCCGGTGAATGGGATGAAGTTGAGAAATACCTATCTGGATTTACAAAAGTAGATGACAATAGATACTCCATGAAAATATTTTTTGAGATTAGAAAGCAGAAGTATCTCGAAGCACTTGATGGGTATGTATATGTTATTTCTCTTCTTTTTTTGAATTACAACACCCAAATTCTTCCCTCCTTTTGAATTAGTTTGTTTCTTTCTAATTCTTGGGATTGAACTTTTCCTCAGGCAAGATAAGGCAAAGGCTGTAGAGATTCTTGTGAATGATTTGAAAGTGTTCTCAACATTCAATGAAGATCTCTATAAAGAAATTACTCAGTTGCTGACATTAAGTAATTTCAGGTACCTTGCCTGATATTTACATATAGGAAACATCTATCTTTATAAAAGACTTGCAAGTGCTTTTCCTATCCCATATGGCAGTGTACTTCTATACGAGTATCTAGGGAGTTCTGTTCAAATTTTTTTTGCTGACCTTGTTCATTTTGTGCTTACAAGGTTCGGATATTGCTCTCTTAGTGTCTCAGTGATAGAGCTTCAAATTTTTTATTTTTTGAATTTTCTGTAATCTCTGTATGAAAGCTAGCTCATGAAGATGAAATGTGGGTTATTCTTTACCTCTGATTAGACAGTTTTTCTTGGAGTGGAGGATTATTGAGTCTCGTGTTCTTTTGAAAACTTTCCCAGAGAGAATGAGCAGCTTTCAAAGTATGGGGACACAAAGACTGCTCGCAGCATAATGTTGATAGAGCTGAAAAAATTGATTGAAGCAAATCCTCTCTTTCGAGAAAAGCTTGTATTCCCAACCCTCAAGGCATCAAGATTGCGCACCTTGATTAATCAGAGGTGTGCATTTGCATCTTTCTCCGCCTACATTTTTAAAGTTTTGTATTTTCTCAATACCATTGGATCGAAAAGAAAACAGCTCATTTTATATAAAAATCTCACACATTTCTTTGTTTCTGCTTATAAGTGCCCCGTCTTGCTAAAAGTATGAACACACACGTGTGTCAGTGTGAGTGTGTGTATGTGTTATGGTGATCAATTATCCATGTTTCCAATTTTAGAGCGACACATTTACACTACTTTGTTTATCTGTTGATATTTGTTACTTTTGCTTGTCTGTTGATGGTGTTTGTGACTTCTGTTTGTCCGTTGATAGTGGTTGTTACTTTTTTGCCCTTGGATAGCGCTTGTCACTTTGTTAGTCCCTGGACAGTGTTGTTACCCTATTTATCCTTGGATAGTGTTTTTACTTTCGACGCTCATCATGGGTCATCTGGAAACAGTCGCTCTATGTTTTAAACATAGGGGTCAGACTACGTACATCCGACCCCCTTACCCTGCAATGGGCAGGAGCCGTTGAGGCAATGGGGTAATGTTGTTGTTGTTGTTTCCCCGTTAATCAGTCAACTACCCAACCCGCCAATCTGGTGATCCAACAGCCCTGCTTGACAATCCTTGGCTATCCAATCAATACAATAGAAGACGCTATCTAAATTGCGCATATGAATTATGAACAGTACTCGTAAAATTGTGTAATTCTGCAAATTGAATTACAATATTAACAACCTTGCTTGTGTGGTGTATTGTTTCGTATTAATGGTTCGTGCCAAAATGGAAATTCTATCATTTTGTTTGCAATTTTACTTAATTAGGAAATCATATTACTCATCCTTTTTCATGGCACCTTCTTCAAGTAGAAGTTTCACACTTTCACTAGTTTTTTGGCTCTTTTTTATGTTTCTGTCATGGTTTAATGTGTTTACTTTTTTCCCCTGTTTATATATATATATATATATAGAGAGAGAGAGAGAGAGAGAGAGAGAGAGATTTTGGATCCAGTGAGAATGCGGTCTAATGAAAAAAATAAGAATGCATCTCGTGCATTAGATGTAAGATCTAAGGGCTTGAAAAATTCAAAAAGACTGAAAAAATCTGAAAAAACGCGGTGGCATTATGATAAATAAGTTGAACTCTACTCCCAGTTCCAAAAATGCACTACCACAATGTAAAAATGCCTCGTGACGGCATAAAAATGCACCATTCTCATTTCTCGCAGTAAGGACCATTCTCACCTCAACTGCACCCTATATATATATATATATATATATATATATATATATATATATATATCAGTCTTATCTAATCTATGATGTGAACATTAGTTTTTGTTTAATGAATTTTGTGCAATTGTTATACTTTCAAGTTTCAACACACAGAAACAAGTGTACCCTTGTCTCTACAAATATGCTCATGCCACCTATCTGTATCCTTGTGCCTGATTATGTGTAGCTGTTCATCCACTGATAGTGTTTGTTACTTTGTTGATATGGTTGTCCATTGTTAGTGTTTGTTACTCCCTATGTCCTGAATGTTCTTTCCATTGTGGCTTGGTATGCTTATTAAGAAAATGAAATTGTGTTGTGATTTTTTCAGACCTAAGAGAAAAAGTATCAACCACACAAATCTTTCCTTAAATGGGAATGAGATTTTTGGGACAATCCCCCTTAAGGGAAAAGAGATGAAAATCTTGGGATGTAGGGGTACTTTATTTGTCCATTGATATTTTGATAACATGGCAAATGGATATGCTTTTTCTTCAGTTTGAATTGGCAACATCAGCTGTGCAAAAATCCAAGGTCAAATCCAGATATAAAGACCTTGTTCACAGACCATACTTGCAATCCTCCAAATGGGACTATTCCTCCTGGTGCTGTGAACATTCCTGCTAATGTGGTTCCAAAGCCTACTGCCTACACAACACTCGGTGCTCATGGGGTATGATCTGTTTGGTTAGCGGACCTGTCTATACCATAGTGTACATCTAGATGTTTTTGTCATACCCAAATTCATTCTGTCCTGTTGCTGGCAGCCATTTCCACCCACTGCAGCTACTGCAAATGCTAACGCATTAGCAGGTTGGATGGCAAATGCTGCTGCATCATCATCTGTTCAAGCGGCAGTGGTGACTGCATCATCCCTACCTGTTCCGAACCAAGGTCCGTCTATTGTGTTATTTGAGCTCAACGTTTTATCTATGATATTTTATCGGTCATATTTTTAAAGAAAAAAATGCTGTTCTGAACATGGAGAAACTGCTAATTTTGGCTATTCAAAAGATATTTATTTGATTTGACTTTATTCACTATATGTTTCAGTTTCAATCTTGAAGCGTCCAATCACACCTCCTGCAACACTGGGTATGGTTGAGTATCAGAATGCAGATCCTGAACAGTTAATGAAACGTTTGCGTCCTGTGCAGTCTGTGGAGGAGGTATTTTTGAAAACCTTGGTTATTATTTCTTGCTCATACAAAGTACCCATGTTGCTACAAGACTTCTGATGAAGCTCTTCTTTAAAGAATCACACTGTTAGTTGCTACTAGTATGGGCCTATGGGGGAAGAGGGATATAGTAAGTTAACTACTGCTATATTATTGTTCTTTGTACGTGGGAGTTATTTGAATAGCTGAACCATGCATGCATTGAAGTTTGAATGCTTTTTATCTTGTTTTCAACAGGTTACATATCCTACTGTTAGGCAGCAAGCGTCATGGTCTCTTGAGGATTTGCCAAGAACCGTAGCATTCACTCTGCATCAAGGATCCACTGTTACGAGCATGGATTTTCACCCATCTCATAATACACTGTTCCTCGGTATGATTGCCTCGAGAATTTTACATTTGTGTACGTGCATTGCTACTGCAACAACATACTGTGCAGTTAATGATAATGCCATTTGAACTCTTTTCGGCACAGTTGGCTCCAGTAATGGCGAAATAACACTCTGGCAAGTTGGAGTGCGAGATAAACTGGTGTCTAAGCCATTCAAAGTTTGGGATATTCAGTCCTGCACAATGCCATTTCAGGTAAGTGACTCCCCAAGTCCCAAAATACTTTTCAAGTTTAATTGGCTTGAAGATTAAGAAAATGAAAACTATGTGATTGAGATTTATCTAGAAGAGAAACTATATGAGCTACAGATTTGTTTCCTTAAAAGGAAGTTGGAAAAGCTTATTTTAGGACGGATATGTTTTAAGGGTGGAGAGTTACAGGCTATTGAGTTATTTGAGTAGCTTCATTTGTTTTGTGTCTAATGCATTTATGGCATTTTTATTGTTTTGGCTCTAATGCATTTATGGCATTTTTATTGGGAGTTTATTTTATATAAGAAACCCTGCACGTGTTCAAAACTCATGTCACTTTTTTTTTGTCCCGTGTCCTTTTCTTGTCTTTCATTAACATTTGAGCGCTTCAACAGGCTTCTGCGGTCAAGGATGCACCATTTTCTGTGAACCGCGTTGCATGGAGTCCAGATGGGACATTTGTTGGTACAAGTTCCTTCATTTTTATATGTACCTATGATAATTCTGCAGGTTTGAGTATTTACAACTTTTCTTTGTATTGCAGGTGCTGCATTTTCTAAGCATTTAATCCATTTGTACTCTTACACTTATACGGGACCACATGATTTACGACAACATCTGGAGGTATGTATCTGGACAAACAAGCACACACACATGCACACACCCTTTCCTTTCACAGAATTTGTTTCTCCTTGTTTTGATAGTCATATGTTGTCTTTGTATGGGAATGCAATTTCATCTCCCATACGTGCAGATAGATGCACATGTTGGAGGAGTGAACGATTTAGCTTTTGCATATCCAAACAAACAACTGTGTGTGGTAACATGTGGTGATGATAAGCTGATTAGGGTGAGTCTTGTCTTAATTTTGAATGTTAATGTTTCTTCCCTTATTTAGCGGAAGCTAACACATTTTTATTAGGTGTGGGATTTGACTGGGAGAAGGTTGTTTAACTTTGAGGGACATGAAGCTCCTGTATACTCAATATGCCCTCATCAGAAAGAGAATATTCAGGTATAGGAAAATGACATCTTGAAGCTGTATGTGCTGTTCAAACACACCACTAGTATTTCCTTGGTGGAATTCTATAATGCCAAGTGGCATAACTGTCAGTAACTTGTGCTTGAAGAGTTGTAACTACTCACACCCTTTGGACTTCTTGGTACCAGGCTTCAGCATAGAAGTCCCCTTTTTGGTGATGTCTTTAGGGCTAGTTATACTTCTGGGTTTTCAATTAGTTAGTTTTTCTGTATTTTCTCTAGACTATTGATGCTTTGATATTTTATCAAGAGGCTCTTTGCCAATTCTCTAATCTACATCCTTGTGGCACTTGTTTTTCTAGTTTTGGACTCCGTATACTTGTTTTTTTGTATTAATACCATTGTCTAATCTACATCGCCGGATCGCCCCTACTTCCCACATAGGGGTAAGGTATGCATACACACCATCCCCAAGCCTCACTATTGGGTTTTACTGGCTACTCATTGTTGTACTACCATAGTCTTCTGGCTACTGTTTTGAATAGAGCACTCCTTCCAGGGCATTTCTCATCTAGTTTTTGGTAGCATGTTTCTGTGCGTGGGTTCATTTTGGACATGCAGTACACCCCATGATGTTTGAAGTTTTCTAGGACTTCAATTTCTTGGAACTTTTGTTGTAATTACAAACTAAAGGCATTTCCACTTATTTGCATTTTTTTCATTTATCCTTCTCTATAGTTCATATTTTCTACTGCTATTGATGGGAAAATAAAAGCTTGGCTGTATGACAATATGGGGTCAAGAGTTGACTATGATGCTCCTGGCCATTGGTGTACTATGCTTTACAGCGGTGATGGAAGTAGGTACGGTTTCAACCCTGAAGGAAATCCTCCCAATGAAGTTTTAATTTTTCAACATTTTTGTGCTAATTCTTAATTTCATGATATATACTGATGGTTATTTCTCTATTGTAGACTGTTTTCTTGTGGAACCAGTAAAGAAGGAGATTCTTTTCTCGTGGAATGGAATGAAAGTGAAGGTGCTATTAAGAGGACTTATAGTGGTTTTCGGAAGAAATCTATTGGTGGTGCTGTGCAGTTCGATACAACTCAAAATCACTTCTTAGCTGTGGGTGAGGATAACCAGATAAAGTTTTGGGACATGGACAACATAAATGCTGTTACTTATACAGATGCTGAGGGTGGTCTCCCGGTCAGTATCATATTTTACAGAAAACAATGAAAAAACGTGGTAATCAAGAACAAAAAATGCTACATGAATAGAATAAAAATTCCTTTTCAGGGGAAGACACATGTATATTACTACGCATATCAATGATTCTAATGAAAAATGGTTATTTTCAGAGTCTTCCTCGTTTGAGATTCAACAAGGAAGGGAATCTTCTTGCTGTTACTACTGCTGACAATGGAATTAAAATTCTTGCAAATGCTGTGGGTATGAGGTCTTTAAGGTCAAATGAGGCTCCACCATTCGAAGCACTAAGATCACCCATTGAAGCAGCTTCTATGAAGGTATCAAGCACAACCATTCCTTTTTTTTTTGTTTAGAATTTTTGGGGTTATAGCCATAAACACCTTTGTCTTTAATTCTGCAGGTTTCTGGATCTTCTGTCACTGCTCTTACTCCTGTGAATTGTAAAATAGAAAGAAGCTCTCCTGTTAGGCCTTCTCCAATCCTTGTATGTACAACATTCCTATTTTTTCAACCCAGCAAATTTAAGCACCGCTTTAACGTGTTTTTTTTTGTTTCTTAAAACTTGTCTTTCAAGTGTCTCTATACTTCCTGGAATCTTTTCGGACTGCATGATATGTCTCCATCCGCATAAATCTCAACAACACAATTTCACCTTTTCTTAAACTTTGTGAAAAACTAAAGGGGAACTTAAATATAGTACCGGGGGGATTATTTCTTAGCTGCGTAAGGAGTGCCGGTCTGACTTAAAATTCTCAAATTCTTCAATTATTGTCTGGACTGTGGTTGTGCAATTCTTTTGCATTATTTATGCTTGCTGCTTTGAATATATTTTAAAAAGATGCTACTTTCAGAACAAGTCTTGGAAGATGCTGATACAATGTGTCTACACAATCAGATGTTAACATAGTATCCACATTTATCTTGTATTATAGGTATAGCCATATACTCAGCTTCTCACAGCACTTAATAATATTTTTTTCCCAGAATGGAGTGGATTCAATGTCTAGAAACATGGAAAAGCCAAGAACCTTGGATGATGTAGCTGACAGAACCAAGCCGTGGCAATTGACTGAAGTTGTAGATCCAGCTCAATGCCGAATGGTTTCTATGCCCGAGAGCTCTGATGCAAAGGTCTGTGAACTAATTTTCCATTCAAAACCTCTCATGGACTTGTGGGGTTCATGGCCCACAGTTAGTTCTTTACACTACCTAAAATATGTGTGAAGTATTCCTCCCAATGTATGTCACTAACAAAAAATATCCTTTGATACTAAAAATGATCTATATAAGGTTGCCCGGCTTCTTTATACAAATTCTGGTTTTGGCATCTTGGCACTTGGGGCGAATGGTATTCAAAAACTATGGAAGTGGTCCCGCAATGAACAAAATCCTAGCGGCAAGGTAGAAGATGTATTATTGATTTTAATGCACCCTCATTAATGTTTGTGCATTGATATTGATTTATTAAAGAAGCAAGTGGGTCTAAAGTCACTGGGGTCTGAAGGCCACTGCCAATGTTGTTCCACAGCATTGGCAGCCAAACAGTGGTCTTCTTATGACCAATGATGTATCAGGTGTCAACCTTGAGGAGGCAGTTCCTTGTATAGCCCTCTCGAAGAATGACTCTTATGTCATGTCAGCAGCTGGTGGAAAGGTTTCATTGTTTAACATGATGACATTTAAGGTATGCATGTAGAATATCTTCTGAAACCTTAATCAAAGTTACTGTGGTGTTTGGCTTTATCATTCTCATTTTTATACATCTGATATATGCCCCGTGTCATGTGTAGGTGATGACAACCTTCATGCCACCTCCACCGGCTTCAACTTTCTTAGCTTTCCATCCCCAAGACAATAATATCATTGCCATTGGCATGGAGGATTCTACCATACATATATACAATGTTAGGGTTGATGAGGTAAACCTTTTCTATATGTATTATGCATTCTGTCTGTACGATAATTTTATATGTACTGATTCAGTTGATTATAATTATAAATAAATTTAGGTGAAATCCAAACTTAAAGGACACCAGAAGCACATCACTGGTCTTGCATTCTCTACAAACCTTAACATACTGGTCTCATCTGGTGCTGATGCCCAGGCAAGTTTTGTTCCATATGCTATCTCACTTTAATACATCAAGTCATGGCATGATCAATGAGCATTCTTAATAATATTGAGTGCATATGGATTGGATTATGCTTAAGTTCATTAACTTTGTGCAAACTTCTGGGTCTCTCAAACTGGGGTCATATGCTTGCTAATGCTAAACATGGTATTCAAATTGGCTTGGATTAATTGCTAAAGAAATCATGAACTTTGGGTAAACTTGCCTATACATTCAGGCCAGAAACGGTGATAATGTTTTACATTGGATGCCTTTTCCACTGCTACCTTCTTATGAAGGAACAATGAAATGAAATTTTAAAATTGTCACCATCATAGGGTTTTCTACTTGATTGTGAAATACCATGAGACAAAGTTGTGTGTTGAGATAGGTGTCCTCCACGTTTCCATGTTCTCAATTTCAAACTAAAAATTCTTTACAGCTTTGTGTGTGGAGCATTGATACATGGGAAAAAAGAAAATCAGTTCCCATCCAATTGCCTGCTGGTAAAGCACCCACGGGTGACACCCGAGTGCAGTTCCATGCCGACCAAGTCCGTTTGCTGGTAGCACATGAAACACAATTGGCCATATACGATGCCTCCAAGATGGAATGCATACGCCAGGTAAAACACAAATGTGTTTATCAAAACTCTCGTATTTCGGTGCTCCATGAACACTAATTTTTATGATGAGCTTTTTATTGCAGTGGGTTCCACAAGAGTCTTTACCTGCACCCATCTCATATGCTACCTACTCCTGCAATAGCCAACTAGTTTATGCGTCCTTTGGTGACGGAAATATTGGAGTGCTTGATGCAGATACCCTAAGACTGAGATGCAGAATAGCTCCATCTGCTTATCTATCTCAGGCAGTATTGAATGGGTAAGAACACAATTTACATTTTCTTTCTTTCTTTCCCAAATCAATTCTTCTTCTTAACGGCCCAAACATTTGTGTTGGTTGCAGAGGCCAAGCAGTGTATCCACTCGTTGTTGCAGCACACCCACAAGAAGCCCATCAATTTGCAGTCGGGTTGACAGACGGGTCTGTTAAAGTCATAGAACCATTGGAATCTGAAGGGAAGTGGGGAGTATCTCCTCCTGTTGATAGTAATGGAATGCTAAATGGTAGGGCAACCTCATCGTCTGCCGCTAGCAACCATATATCAGACCAAGTTCAAAGGTGAAACTATCTGTGTTTTGACAGTGACAGTGCATTGTAATTTATAGGAATAGATTTTAGAGGTTGTTTTTTTGGCTCCCTCTATTAAAGGATACAAGAATTGGAATTGACTTCAAAAGGGCTAATGTAATATGTGTCTTTTTTAGTTATCATTTTTACTATTTATTTCTACATAAAGTTTTGTTCAAAGTTTGGAATGTATTTTAGTTATCAGTTTTACTAAACGTCAAAAATTACTACTCCCTCCTTCCAGGAAAGAACTTTCTATTTGGACTTTTCTTCATTTATATGAAGGGTTGACTTATGGCTTGAAATGCCTAAAATGCCCTTTAAAAAATTTGTATTAAATGAAAGGAAAGTTGGTTGAACACAAATTTAATCATTAGAAGCATTGTTTACAGAAATTGGGGGAGGGGTTATGGGTCTCTTACATCAAATCAATAATCTACTTTTACATAAAATGATCATAGAACCAAATTTTGGCATTCTCTCCTTTTTAGCTACCGCCCAAAAATTTGACATTCAAATTGGATTTCAGCAACTTATAAAAGTCTCTTGCCCTTTCCCTTTTTGGCATGCACTTTCTTCACTGACGCTTCCTCTTTTTCTTTTTCATTTTCCTTCCCACACCAACTGATTATGCCAAATTCACCCTAACAGACTCGATTCGATTAGGTCCCGTTTTCTTCAGCTTATGAAATGAACACAAAAAATAGGAAAAGAAAGATATTGAAGTTTGAGCATGTGAATACTGTATTAAATAGATAACTTAATTTCAAACAAAGGGAGCAACATATAAGAGGTTTATGGACTGCTGCGATAAGAAAGATAAGGCATATTTAAGAGTAAAGTATAAGATTTCCCATAAGGAAGCAAAATTAAAAGTTATTAAGGTGAAGAATGCAACTTCTGAATGCCTTTATAAGATATTGGAGGATTGGGGCATAGTAAGAGGCTTTTTTGACTTGTTAAAGTGCGTGATAGAAAGGTCCAAAATCTAGAGTATGTGAGGTGTGTGAAAGACAATGATAGCAGGGTATTGTTCTAACACCTCAACCCGCATAACTTGAATACATGAGCCAGCGAATCGGGTTGCTACTAAATTGTTATCCGTTACAACTCATATTTACAAACAATTTAAAACAAATATCGCAAAGTATAATTTAAAACATTCATCGGAGTACTTTAAAAATAGTGCGAAAGTTTTAGTCATTATTCAGAACAAACTTGGAATTCAAGCACATAAAAGTATTGAGTATTTAAATAATAAATATCAATTCAAATCTTCAACCACATCCACGCACATCTCTTCATCCTCATCGCCTCCGGGAGTGGCTCTACGTTCATCATGATCCTGATTACCTACATGCAACAAAAGAACCAACACTACATGCTCAACATTGAAGCTGAGTGAGAAATATCTAACATTTAGTTATATATATAGATGACCTCACTAGTTCATAACATCACACGATATTATTCACACAAGTTCATCATGAATATCAACATACCAATTCAATTCATAAACAATATTGATAATATAAGATATTATGCTCTCGTTACTTTTGTCAACAAACTTACTTTTCTCATAACCTATTCTAGGTTTACGCTTATACTAACTTTGACTTAATGGACTCATGACATTCCTCTTCGAAACAAAGATCAAGCTCAACCAACTCGATAGTTCCTCGTTGGATGGGTGAGATTCTGTCCTTTTTGAAACGACAGTTCATAGATCTCCGTGTGCACATTTTTACCCGAGCCACCAGGTGCCACATGGCTCTAACCTTTCTGTACTTATGGCATAACTTGCCTATATTCCATTGAGGTCAAATCCTAGAGTTTCTATAGGTTCATGTAACGCCCTACAACCCGGTCTATTAGAATTGATTATTTTAAATAATTAATTACTGTTCCGGTCCAGAGTTGGGGAAAATAAAAGTTCTTAGAAAAATTATTTGAACACGTCATTAAATTTGTTTTGACTGTCTGATTCCAAAAACGTAAACGGTTTTCAATTCGGACTCGTTCGGGGGGAAAGCACGTACCGTTCAGGTCAGATTTTACATAACGGAGTAGAATTTAGGGAATTAATTCCCCACTTAACTCTCCACACGCCACACCCATTGATCTTCCTTAACTCCCATCATTTCATCTCAATTATTTTCCATTTAACTCCCTTAAATTCCCTTCAATATAATCCTCCTTCCCCTCTTCATTTTCCCCATCATTTGTAACTCCCAAGCATTCACACACAACTCCCTTTCCCCTTATCTTGTTCGGTCAAGCAGCAGCAGCAGCAAAGGAGGTGTTCCGGTGGTTAGTCGAGGAGGAAGGAGGAGGAGGAAGAGAGGGAGGGCTACGCGCGAAGCCGTCTGTACAACTGTTCGTTTGTTCATTGTCATCCGTTCGTTCATCTCGTTCCATTGTTCCGTCAACCCATTCGTTTAGAGGTGAGTAGTTGTCCCTCTAATTCTAGAACATTTAGTTATAATCTATGTCGTTATATTCATAGCAATATCGTACGCAACCTACGTAGAATCTATGCATGTTCGTAGGTTAGCCATCAAAACGTTCACTACGTAAAACTTATTAATATTGGCCTAGGAATCACTAGGAATATATTCATCAATGTTTGTATTATTGTTCTAGAACAAATCAAGGTGTTAAGGTTGCAAAATGGATCAAAACGTAGCCAAGGACAGAAGACTGTCACCTGGACGGTCGACCGTTACTTCAGACGGTGGACCATACCCTCGGCCAGTCCAACGGTCACCGCTGGGACGGTCGACCGTCATCCATGACGGAAGACCACGGTGGACCGTCTGTGACCCAGACCCCAGACCATAGCCCACGGTCGACCGCCGGTAGGGTACGGTCGACCGTTCAGCAGGCAGAATTTCGGGCAGTTTGTAGAACGAGCCCCATTTGACCAGTTTGACTCAGAATCTAATTGTGTGTTTGCATGAAATGTTAATATTCATTATGTGTGTTATTTAATTGATATATTCTTGGCGTTGACCAAAGGTAAATACATCAAGCATTCATCATGTTCATTCTAGGCGCATGTCCTAGGTTTTTCATCATGTGCATACCACTGTAGGGAGGTCAGGCTTCCGTGCGCCTACTGCAGTGGGCCCATCCAGGAACCTTTGGGATCTAACGGGTTTTCATCAGGTAGACTTTGTGTACGTACATGGTAGTCAGGCTACGGCTACCACCCGGTTTTTGCTAGTTCACTTGCGACGTTTTGTCGAGCCCGGGTCATTACCGGAGTGCAGGGGTGATCCTGTCAAGTGAGACTAAGTCAGGGGTGTCCCTAATAGCTTAAGTCATGCATCAAGTCATATTGTCATCATGTATGTTTCATGTCACGTCAACATTCAATGTGGTCATCATCATGTATGTTCCACATCACACCAACATTCAATGTGGTTGTTATTCATTTTGTTTAAGTGCAAATTAATCAGTTAGTAAACATGTGGTTTTTCGTACGTTAAGTACAGGTATTAATATGTGTGTAGCCATATGGGTTATCACTTAATGTTCTTTTGTTAGATTCACTCCTCAGCTTTTGCTGAGCGTGTAGTTGTTTTTGCTACACGCAGGTAGATATGACGGTACGGGTGCTAATCCTGGAGGACAGTGATGATGGGAGGATGGGCGGCGCACGGACAAGTTCAATATTTAAAAACATTTAATTAATTAATCATTTGGGCATGAATCCACCATATGTCGTTTTACTTATTTTGGACTTATTTATTTACTTCCGCTTTACTCTGCATTTATATCACACACGTTTTGGTGTTAACTCCCTAGCATTTATTTCACCAATAAAACGTAACCGTTTCCACAATAAATAGACATTAATGCGTTTTTCTCTACGGACGGTTCTCGGACCGCCCATGTAACCCTACCGGTCCGTTGGGTCGCGGGTGAACCGGCTCCACGGAAGGCGGGTGTTACAGTTCATATGTTACTTTAATGATACATTACATTCATAAGTGCATATCTCATAAAATAGGCATAATCATCATCAACATAACAAAACATGATTAAACATCGGCCTAGCGTTGGGTGTGAATACTCATGCTTACCGACATGCAACATACAAGTCTCACAATACACTCTCAACATGAAAATAGGTTCGAGAATAGCTCTGGTACCAGACTACGGTACCTGGTCCGGTATTTGGGTATGAATACGGTACCTGGGTACCGCCCAGGGAGTACCTAGTACCGACTAGGACAGAGTTCGGCAGCACCACATAGCTTGTGACGGTAGCTAGTTGCCGTCACAACGGTAGGGTCTACCGTCCGGTCGCAGATTCTGCCAGCAAATTTTGATCTGTGGCGATACCTGGGTACCGGTAGGCCGGTACCTCGCTACCGCTTAACACGATATTCCTTTTCTTGCACCAGCTTTAATTCCAGCAACAATCCAACACCAGTTCCATACAATTCATTACCAATATGTATATAATTCACTTCTTAACCATATCCCATCTTACCTTGATTATAATTGAATCAATTAATGCATTCTAACCCACAACTACTAATAATCCAATTGAAGTATCATGTAGGGTTTCACAAAAATTAACCGAAATGATTCTACGGACGTAAGATTCAAACCCATAGATATAACATAGTGTTAGTTGTCCACGTACTCACCTCGATGATTAGACGAAGAACTACGAAAATGAATTGACCTACGAATGGTGACAATGGCACGGTAACAGAAGGTTTCTCCTCTTCTTCCTTCTTCTTCTTCCTTCTTTTTCTTTCCTCTCCTTCTTCTTCTTTCTTCGGTTCTGCTCTTGTTCCTTGATGTCGCTGCTGTGTTCTAGTCGAGTGAAGGAGGCGAGAGAGAGAGGGGGGGGGGNCATAATATGGGCGTGCAGCATGGGGTTTTAGGCGTGTTAGGTGTGTATTTATAGGTATGGGGTTTTGGGCACCGTAAATAAATAACATACCTCAATTAAAATACTTTTTTTGGGCCAACTTGCTTGGAATTCAAACTTGTTTGCACCGTCGGATTTGTCTTGTCGAACACTACACAAGGGTACAATTTTTATATTTTATTAATGAATATTTAAAATAAAGCTCAGGTCCGTCTCAAACTTTCAATGGTTAATTAATTATTCTTGTTTTTTAATTCTGATAGGCTGGGTTTGGAGGCGTTACAATTGTTTGGAGGCGTGACAAGAAGATTTTACTTTATCGAATGATAAATAAAGTCGTGCATACAACATAAGTTATCAAAAAACTTAATAGTAACTAAGAAAATTAAATTGAGACGGATGAGTATGAATAATTCACATACATTACACCCCCTCAAATGGAGTTACTTTAATTTTGCATAGTTTTTTATATCCGAGTAATTTGTAAACTTAAAATGTATACTTTATCTTGAGACAAATGCAAAATAAATTAAACTTTTAGATTTAACATTGATCTCATACAAGAGATTTGTTTACAAGCTATGCATTCATATATTATTCGAATAAAAATGTGTTTAAAAAACGTAATAATCAAATGCGTTTTTAATCAAATTCATTTTGCTGTGGAAAAATAAAAATCCTCTTTATGAATGCATTTCAAGAAATTGAAAGTCTTTGCTTCAGTCAAATTAGATATCTATCAAATTTAATATATTTAGATATTCCAAATCTTTCAAATTGAGAGTTTCAATATCTCTCAATTTTAGAAGATATCAGGATGTGAGTTTGATATATTTTTCCGTTGATCATTTTCTATCACTGACTACACTGTCATTGCAAATTATTCCTGTTGTTGGTCACTTGGTCATTATCGTTGTAATGTCTGTCAAGCCGACATCAGAGTACATCACTGTATATAGAGTTGATACGGAATTACACATTTAACCTTCAATTTAACTCCAAAATAATAGGAAGTAAAAAAACTATTCCCTTCGTCCTAAAACATTCTTCGCAGACACAATTCACATGGTCAAATTTTAATTACATTTTTGTTTATCTATTTTCGTTAGTTATTTGATAAAATAATATAGTAATGTCACATCTTGTTTTATAAAACTTTTAATGTAATTTTTTAATGTATATATTTTATCCTTTAATTTTATACATATAATCAAATGAATTGAATTGAAAATAATTCAGTCAAACCTAGTAAATCAAATTGGAAAGAAAATTTTAGGCCAGAAGAAGTATTTTTAGAATAGTACCAAAAAATAGGATATACTCCGTAATATTTAATGCTCCTTCCGTCTCTAATTCAATTACAATTTTTTTCTCTCCTCGTCATAACTTTTGTTTGATTACACGATTTCATTAAATATTTGATGAAATAAAATATTCTTATCACCTCTTGTTTTATAGAAATTTTGAAATAAATTTTTAATATATAATTTTTATTTCTTATCAATATACCGATTTTTAAATAAAATAATTTAAAAAAAATAAGATATTTCTCTTCCTAATAAAATACTACTACGGGGTAAGTAGTATTTCCCACATGGCTCCTCCAAGTGGAACGAAGGTTGACGATACCCCGTACCAATGGCAGAACGGCAACGAAGACCAGCAGAAATTTCAATGAAGAAATGACAACCCTAGATTCCTTCGACTTTGTATCCCCCCTTCTCTGGATTTTGTTATCACTTACAGAGTTTAATTTCGAAAAATATATCTATAAACTGTAAATAGCTCAAAAACCTCTCAAAAAATTGTTCATTATATCTCGGCCAAAACCCTAAAATTTCTCTGGAAAACCTGTTAGCCACCATGAAGCCCTTCAGATGGAGGTCAGGGGTTGTCTGGCTGTTTCTGATTTTGTCAGTATTTGATAATGATCGCGTCTCCGGAGAGCCGAGATCTCAATCTTCAAAAGAAGCTTATGTGACGCTTCTCTACGGCGACGAGTTCCTGCTCGGCGTTAGGGTTCTCGGCAAGTCTATCCGCGATACTGGAACCACCAAGGATATGGTTGCTTTGGTCTCCGATGGTGTCTCCAGCTATGCCAAACAGCTCCTTCAGGCACTTTTTTTAACTTTTTTTTTGTTTAGTTGTGTTTTGACAACACGCACTTTTCCTGAATTTCAATGTAAAAAGTTTCTTTTTTTATTTAAAAATAGTACAATTTCCTTCTTTTATGGACTTATTATCACCTTATGATCTGCTTAGTGATAAGTTTTAGATAATCACTACTCTTAAGTGGAAACATTACCAAATAGCTTTATTTTGTAGCATTGCAACGCTCAAGCTTTAACCAGAAGATTTATTTGGCTTACTGTCTTTTTGTGTTTGCTAGTTGGACATTTGATGCATATATTTGATCTCTGAAAATCCTGTCTTTATGTCAATTTGACTAAAATGAAAAAAGCAGCAGTTAACATTGAGCTTCGTGAGTGCCCAGAAATGATTACTTCTGCGATTGCATTGTCTTTCTTGCGGATTGATTTAGGATGGTTTTGTGGTTTCTACGCAGGCAGATGGATGGATTGTGGAAGAAATTAGTTTATTGGCCAACCCAAACCAAGTGAGACCGACGAGATTCTGGGGCGTCTACACGAAACTTAAAATCTTCAATATGACTAACTACAAGAAAGGTGATTTGGTGTATTAATGATCCAATTGATTTGATTTATTACCAAGCTTTGTATAAATGAGATAATTTATTGTTGTTCCTTTTGCTCGCATAATTATGCTGCTAAAATGATTTTCTTCCCAAATGGATATTGGATTATTGGAATATGTGGGAATGAAGGAGTATGTGTCACTCAACCTTTTTCTTTGATCTGGCAGTGGTGTATCTTGATGCTGATACAATAGTTGTAAAGAGCATTGAAGATTTATTTAAATGTGGAAAGTTTTGTGCAAATTTAAAGCATTCAGAAAGGTTGAATTCGGGTGTTATGGTTGTTGAGCCATCTGAAGAAGTTTTTAAGGATATGATTAGCAAGGTTACCACTTTGCATTCATACACTGGAGGTATGCTCCATATTTGAATCCATTCAACTGCAATTACATTTTTCTGTACCAATTTGATGCATTCCTGGCTTCTTATAACACAATACTTGGGGGATTTTTTGTTATCTACTAATTAAACTTGATATGCTATTTTCTCTAAGTATTAAATGTACCATCTTTTTGCTGGTGTAAGGAAATAAAGTTTGTTCGTATATTTACTTGTCTGGCTGTATGCCTTCCCTTCCTGTCCCATATGGTCGTGCATCATCTCATCACGTTAATCCCAAGTAGTTGGATTCGGTGGTGTGAAATGTTGTAGTGTCACTTAGTTATCTAAAACAGTTAGTACTATAGATTCATGCAAAAAAAAGATTCAAGATTGACCCCAAACATTACACAAAAAAAGCTTCAATTGAACATTAACTCTTTAAGCATCTCATTTAGTCCGTAAGCTAACTGAAGTAACTTAATGTTATCATCCTTAACTTTCAAGAAAACACTGATGGACTTTAACATGCTGCACTTGCAGATGCTTCAAACACAAGCACAAATAAATATGCGAAGGAAGCACTATAAGCAATGAAACAATGATTTGAAACGGAAAAAACACGATATAAATTAAACATTTGATACAAAATGTGCTTTTGGGGGGGATTTATTATGTGTTTCTGGATGCTTACAGGTGATCAAGGATTTCTCAACTCCTACTATGCTGGGTTTCCTAATGCTCATGTGTTTGACCCAAACTTGCCTCAAGATGTCTTAAATTCTAGACCAGTTCCTAAAATGGAGAGACTTTCTACTTTTTACAATGCCGATGTTGGCCTGTACATGCTTGCTAACAAGGTATTCTTTAGTTTTATTATAAGTTTCTTCTTCCTCTGTCTTTTGTGTGTGTAAAAATTGAAATCTTTTTTCTCTTTTTTCCCCTTGATTTGAGCCTCATAGTGAATTATAGATAATAAATCTTATATCTGCTGCTTGCAGAGAGCTTAAATGAAGGTTTTCACATGCATTTGGTTTTTTTTTTATTTTATGTGCTGAATCTTTTATTATCACTACTGCAATGTGCAGTTTTCTGGACTTGTTGGATAGAGGCCTTGGGCTAGGTGGTAGTTTTTTTGGACTTGTGTGCTTTGTATGCTTTATATGCTCTGTGCTCTCTGTTTGCAGTACTTTTCATTTGTTAACATTAGGTTGTTCTTTGCCTCTGTGTGCTTTGGGCTTTATCCGTGCCTCTTCTACTTTAGTATGTATCTCCTGCGATCTTTTATTACTTTTATATCTTTTATTACTTTTATAATCTTTTATAATCTTTTATTATTTTTTCCTTCTTGAGTTGGAGGTCTCTTAGAAACAGCCTCCCTACTTTTGAGTAGGGGCAAGGTCTGCGTACACAGACCCTCTCCCGACCCTACTCTCATGGGATCCAACTGGGTTGTTGTTGTTCTGCAATGTGCAGTGGATGGTTGATGAGAAAGAACTTCGTATTATCCATTACACTCTTGGGCCACTCAAACCATGGGATTGGTGGACATCTTGGCTTTTGAAACCGGTTGATGTCTGGCAGGTATTTCTTTTTACTACTTTCCTATTTCATGTCAGTCTTATTTGATGGATGTTAAAAATTTCATTTATGAGTTTTATTTTTTTTGACATCTTAAGAGGCTTCTGTGCACTTATCCCCACAACTTTATGACTTTCCTATGATTGTCGATGCTGCAGAATGCTAGGGTGCAGCTCAAGGAAAGTTTACCAGGAACCCAAGGAGGAAAAAATCCTAAAGATGATTTTTTTGTCAAATTACTTTTTCTTCTTCCGTTATTTCTTGTACTTTCCTGCTTCTACCGGTCATATTTACAGGTGAATAACATAAGTCATCTTTTAAATTGCTAGTCAACAATGTGATTATATTGTCTTAATGAAAATAACTTTTTCTGCTCTCAGACACACTCGATTAGTGATCACATAAAACATATATACTACAAATTCAGAGCTGGAGGTATCCTTCCTTACTCTGCAGTTCCTTCATCCACCATCAGCTCCAACCAGCAGGTTCGTATTCTCATCAACTTTTGGAGCATGATAGCATTGATCAATATTTTACTCTTCCTTCTTGGATCCCTGGAAATGTTTGAGAAAGAAAATAAGCAGGAAAACATAGAAGAAAACTGGAAAGAAAGAATACGGTTGGGAAGAGAGAAGTCTAAAATCAATAAATTTATTTGAGATATTTTTTTGTACTAATTTTTTGTCCACATCTCTCATGTAAGGCATAAGAAATCATATTTTTAAGTTTGCTTTGCATTTCCCATTTTAAAACTAAACAGTCGAAAACGAAACTCCATCATAAGTTTTTCCTATTCCCATGGCATTCTCCAGGTTCTAAAAATACCCTAATCGATGTGCCGATTAGCCTAATTCTAGTGATTTAGTAGATGGCTTTCTTAAACCGTGCCAAGTTACCAACTCATGAGCAAACATATATCAACTTTGCACGTGCATATAGGGTGTCATACTGACATGAACTTGCGATAAATGCACTTAACAAATGGTGCACATTTTAAGGTACCTTCTTACCTGTGTGGGATGTCTATCTGTGTCTGTTTTGCTGCTGCTTTGTGGTCTCTCGGGCTCTCACTTCTGATCATCCCTCGTCAAGTATTGCCTTGGACTGGGCTCATTCTTATGTATGAGTGGACATTCACACTTTTCTTCATCTCGTTTGGAAGTTATTTGAACTTAGTCCAGAAACGGGGAAAGCTTATGGGAAACCAAGTGGGCTCTTCTCGAGTTGAATCTTTGGCATATGATTCAGCAAAAGGTTGGTTGATTAGACTCTCAATAGACTTATTTTTGGGCTTAATCTGATGTGTGGTTGCCATTTATATGTGTTTATTTTTGTAGCTCATCAGCGGCAGCAGTCATGTTGTGACATGGCTGCATGGAACTATAGTTTGGGAATGGCTTTTCTTGCCATTGCAACTCCATCACTGCCTTGTCTTCTTGGGGTCACTTCACTATTTTTAAGGTAACCTGCTAGAGTCATTTTCTATCTATCTATTGCTAACTGCTAAGTTATCTCATTTTATATTTATGAATAAAGTGTGCATTAGGTTGTGATTTGAACTATTTGGTCCTGCCATTTTGCAGTTTTCTTGAGCAGTTGCACAAAATTTTTTCCACTTGAAAAAAATTAGATGGACAAAAATTTATAAAAAGTTCAATCCCTTGCACAATGTTTGAAATCTAGCCGTTTCCTCAAAACTTGTCAATTTGGCAGTGGATTTATAATTTGATCAGCAATCTCGCTAATTTTATGTCCTTGTTAAAATTAAGCCTTGCCATGCCAGCATGCCAAGAGGCATCGAGTTAGCAAAATTCAGACACTCATAATGAGTGCAAACGAGCTAATCACACGAGTTTAAGGTTAAATATGTTTTTGGTCCTTGTAAATTTAGTGAATTCTGATTTTGGCCCCTTTAAACTTTTTATTTAATTAAATATGTAAAAGATCTTTTTTTCAAGGGGTCCTCCCAACGACGTGGAACTTATGTTCGCCATGTTTTTGGTCCCGGTAAAATTTGTGAATTTTGTCTTTGGTCCCTCAATTTTTTTCATTCAGCGAATTTCGTTTTTGCTCCCTAAGACATGGTTAACATCAGCTCTGCCTCCTAGTTTTTTTTTTAAAAAAGATTTTTTAGGGATCATTATAAAATTCACTAATTTTACGGGGACCAAAAACGTACTACGTTCTTAACTCTAATTTATTATTGGGTCACCAATGTGGTAATGCTGACAAGGTTGAACCTTGGCCAGTTGTCCAAGATTGGAATGTACCTGGAATTATGATCAAATTCAAAATTCCTGGACAAATTGTCTCAAAACCTGCCTAAATGATTTGATTTTTGTTATAATGAGGCCTTTATCATTTTTATTAGTTTGCTTTCAACTCTTCCTCCTAGTCTACCAAGGCTTCATTTCACTGTTATTTGTTTAATGGAGTTGAATCAAGCAGAATTGCACATTCCTTTACAAAAAGGAACATATATGTTTATGGATAGGGTGTTGCTATATCCCCACTCATTTTGGCTACATCCACTCAATTTATGGTAAATGAACAATTTTATCCTTAAAAATTACAAAAGAGGGGTATTAGATGTAAGCCAACTTTTAAGGGCAAAGTTGTCCATTTAACATAAAAGGCGTGGATTCAGCGAAGAAATGCAGAAATCGTGAAAACCTCTTCTCCTCCGGGAAAACACGCAAGTCATATATGTGTATTGTAGCTGTGCGATGCATGTTTACAGGTTGGGTTTGATGGTGGCGGGAGGGATCGTTCTTGCATCGTTCATGACGTATGCGTCTGAGCATTTGGCAATTAGATCATTTGTACGAGGTTTAGAAGAGAAAGAAACGTTGAGGAGCAGTAGTAGTAGTAGTAGAACCATATGTTTCTTGTGTTGATGGATGGCTTCAATCTTTGCATCTCAGCTAACCACAACCTCTTTTTTTTCTTTTCTCTTTTTTTTGTGTGTGTGTAGTTTGCTGTGTGTGTGTGTGTGTGTGTGTGTGTTTCCCTACTGTATGGCGGATTTTGTAAATGATGTTTGAATGGAAAAATTGCATGAAAGAGGACGACCATTGTTTTTTTTATTTCTGGTACAAACTTTATCCTTAAGCCGAGACAATACCTCACGACTAGGGCTGTTCATTGGTCCAGAACCGGCACTGTAGGAGCACGGAGGAATTGACGGTTTTGGCAATGAAGTGATAGAAATAATATATTAGCCTATTAGGTGGAGAAATTTTGTTAGAAGCAAATGAGTAAGACATTGATATAGTTAAAAAAAAAAAAAGAAATTTTGGAGGGCCATTTTTGGGTGCTCTAAGATAATGCACATGAAACTTGTTTGTAAGTTTATATCCACAAACATGTTTGTGAGACATTGCAAGTGAGATTGGATCTGCATAAAATTGGTTCCAGGTCGGATCTGAGGTTAATTTTTTGCTCAGATATTTTACTAGATGGAGGGAGTAATAAATCGTCTTAAGATATAAAACATCCAGCAGTGAGAATATCCAATTTTAAATAATTCAAATGAATTTCTAAGATGATGTTATAAAGCTGATTGTAGTTCAGAGAGAGTTATACAGAGTATCATCTTTATTGTTACACATTCATCCAATAAATATCTTAAAAGCAATAAACAATGTAGATGATATGATTACACAGTTCAAAAAAATTCTCCTACTCTATAGTCAGAGGTGAGTAGAAAGATTATGAATAAAAAAAGATAGATCAAAATAGATTAGGACTTGGACAAAAAAAAATGGGACTGGTAGTCTCATTTGGTCCTTGAATTTTGATGAAAGACTTGACCGGGACCGAACTAAGACAAGAGTTGTAATTCACTTGAAATATAATTTGTACAAATACATTTATACTTTAAAATTAAAATTTTATATAAATAGTTCATCCTATCGTTATAGAGAATAATATTTTATGTTATTTTTATAAATTTACAGAATAGTCAAAACAAAATAAAAAAATCATAAATGTACAAAATATGCAAATTAATTTTTTTTGTTGATTCTATCTTACTTCTACTTTTTCATCATTTTTTTTGGCTTTGGGATGTGATGAAATAAAGCAAAATGGATCTCTAAACTGTCTGCGCGTCTTCAATTAATGAAGTAGGAATTGTCAATCAATGCAACTTCCTACGTTGAGCCGGAGTCTCTTTAGAAATAGCATCTCTACTTTTGAGTAGGGGAAAGGTCTGCACGCACACACCCCAGACCCTACTCTTGTAGGATTCAATTGGGTTGTTGTTGTCGTCTATCTAACTTCTACTTTAGAAAAAATATTCATATTTTCTTAAAATAGAAGTTGGATAGAATTTGTTATTTTTAGAGTATCTTTTTGTTTAATTTCTTGTATTTCTGGACCTTTTTAATAATAATAAAATAAGATAATTTTATTAACATATACATGATCTAATGTCGAAAGCTAGACCCAAACTATAGCCAAAGTATATCCATATCCCAGCATCTAAAACCATGTGTGCCGAGACCAAAGTGTCCGAGAAATCCAGAATTTAAGTACTAATATATGTAGGAAATCAAAAACGTGTTTCTATTAGTGCAAAAAATTGGAAAATGAAAAAAGTCTCTCACCTAAAAAATCCGAAGTTGACACATGGCAAAATGGGAGTACTAGTGATGTCTTGATATTTGAAAAAAATAAGAAAATGAAAAATCTGTCACTTAAAAATGCGTGATTGACACATGGCAAAACGGAATTGATACCTCCGTCTTGCTTAAATGCGTGTTATTGCCCTTCCATCTCCCCAAAAAAGCTCTGTGTTTTCCAAGTTGATTCTCCCAAAAATTCCGAACGCAGGATGACGAGAAGACCGAAGAGAGAGAAGAGAGGACCTCCATTCTCAAAAGATCTAATTTAAATACTCGTATCTAAGTTTTATTTGTTCTTTTTATTATATCCTTGAAATAAATATATTGAAAGGATTAAGCATAGCGTTTTATTTTCGCAAACTGCATAATATTTTAGGTAAAAGAAAGTAATGTTTATAAAAAAAATTTATTGCGTACCAAAACAGCAATGCCAGTTTCATTTTGGCCTTTTAAATAAAATATCAATACTTTTCCATATTAAATTTTAATATCAATGGTCAGTCATGTCAACTTGCAAAGCGAAACTACCAATTCCATCTTGCCAGAAAAATCAAATATGAAAGATAATAATATCATAAATTTTAAGAATCTTAGAGCATATTTCGAATAATATGAAAGTTGGAAACTCAAACTTCATTCTAATAACTCAAAAAAAGTCAAACAAGAAAAGCATACTAGGACAAAGGGAGTATGTAGTTTGCAATGTATAATAAGTAGATATATTAATCTTTGTCAAACAACTCCGTTGTCGTCCAGTGGTTAGGATATCTGGCTTTCACCCAGGAGACCCGGGTTCAATTCCCGGCAACGGAAATTTTTTGTCTTCTGAAGTTTTGTTAATTTTAACTTTTTGAGCCAGAAGCTCTCCAATGATCCAATTGCCCTAATGTGTGTTTTCTTCAGTAAAAATCAAAATGAATATGTTGTCAAAAAAACAAACGATATTAAATACAGAACTTCGTTAAAAAAGAACTTTTTAAAAATATTTCAATTTAAAAAGACTATAAATATTTTCTTTAATCATTTTATATCCTGCGCAGTGCTTCATAATTTTCTTTCATATTATCACATCAATCTACTTTTACCCTCACATAGTCACTATGTAAAAGATTGTCTTGTGACAAAGTTTCATAAAAAATATCATTCAAATAAATGTTACTTTTTTTATCCTATTCTTTTGTTCGTTTACTTGTCATGTTATTTTTGTCTCATATCCTATTGTATAACATTTGTGCTAAGAAGTATCCATATTGAAAATCGAAAAAAAGAAGATATATAAGTTCTTGAGTTGAACAAAAGACTTCATCCTCCATAACTCATTTTATTCCTTTTCAAGCGGACCTTTAGGTTACTTAACTAGAGAGTTGAAAGACAAAAAAGAGTGGTAAAGAGGAGCTCGACTTTCAAACCTCTATCTTCAGGATTTCGGTAGACGACAGCCAAATACAAAAACAATGAAAAAAAAGGACTTAATTTTCCATAACTCATTTTCTTCCTTTCCAAACATATCCTTACTTAGGTAGAGAGAATGGAAACACAAATACAAGCGGACCTTTAGGTTACTTAACTAGAGAGTTGAAAGACAAAAAAGAGTGGTAAAGAGGAGCTCGACTTTCAAACCTCTATCTTCAGGATTTCGGTAGACGACAGCCAAATACAAAAACAATGAAAAAAAAAGGACTTAATTTTCCATAACTCATTTTCTTCCTTTCCAAACATATCCTTACTTAGGTAGAGAGAATGGAAACACAAAAGGAAATGGGGTGAGAGAGGCTCGAACTCTCGACCTCAGGATAACTCAGAAGCTATGAGACCTACGCGCTAGCCAACTGCGCCACCACCCCAATAATGTTCTGCAAACATGTTTTGCGATTTTATAATCTTTCTTTTTGACACCACACAGTTAATTTGGACAAAATCATTCAAATTTGTATATGTACCCAAATCAAAACAATTTACTCTATATACTATTCTTTTTTATTCAATCAAGTTCTTTTTACTTGCCTCTTATATGTTATCCAAATTCTTGCCGATGACATCTAATTTTACTATAAATGACATAAAAATTTTATTTAACATAATAACTCATACTTTTAATCTAATATTAGTGATTATAAAATATATATTTTACCCATATAGTTTTTTCATATAAATAAATAAATAAACGTATATTGTTTTTAATAAAAAAATTTAAAAAAATATGAATTAACATGTCAAAATAACAGTTTCATGACATTAATAGTAAAATCAAATCAGACAACAAGCTAAACATTTGTGGCAATAAGCCAATAAATAAGATAAAAGTGAAGAAAATGACTTGATTTAACAAAAAAGAATAGTACAAGAACTAAATTACTTTGACTTTAAGTACAAAGACTTATTTAGACATTTTTAGATGGTACATAGACCTCTAAAGAATTTTGTTCCACCTAATTCTCTTTTTTAATTATATACTTCCTCTCTAATTAATTTTTATCTTTACTATTTCATACTTGTGCTAACGTTTATTTATGTATACATTTCCATTGATCATTAGATAAAATATATAATAGAGATGTCATTATTTCTTTGTAAAACTTTTGGTGTAATTTTTAAATATGTAACTTATATTTTTTATTTTTATAACAATTAATTATAAATAAAATTATTTTTTAAAAAAAAAATAGGATTTTGCATGTTGCTCGAAAAGGGACGATTAACTTGGAACCGAAGGAGCTGAGTATTTAAAAAAACATAAACCATATTCCCGAAAAAAGAGTTACGTTATTTTTCTAAACCCTAAAATAAGCTATTGCACAATGACAATTTAGGATTGTATTTTGTATATTAGTATTTCACATTATTTTTTGTATTATATATTGTTATTATTCGCTTGGTAAGTTCTATTTTGGGAACAAAAATATAGAGCTCTTAATTATTTTGGTGCTTTTTTATATATATTTTACTCCTAGTTTAATTTTAGACTATTTTCATTGATAATTAAATGAAATAATATGCTTCTTTCGAGTACAGAGTATTTTTCTTGAAAAATTTGATATAATATTTAAATATATAAACGGAAAATTATTCATGAGTGGTCAAAAATCAAACCCACTCCCAAACGGGAAATTATTCATGGAGAATAAAAATAGTGTTCAAGGAACTAATGATGTGTTTCAAAAATATCAACCCGTATTTCACACAAAAAAAGTGCCCGCATGGACAACTTGGATGGTCTTATGAGACGATATCAATCCCGACACTACAGGAATCCGCTAAAAGGTCAATGAAGAATGGCAGTGGATATCTTATAGACACCATTAACGATGGAATAAGCGTGATTTTTACTTGGGCACCAAATATAACAATGGATCTAAACTCTGTCATTAGATATATGCAGGAAGTTATCCGCACCACGCGGATGTTGTTTGGATTTGGTGCATTTGACTGTTGGTTGTTGACTTGGTGTGGATTCAAAAAATAGAACCACACGTGTTATAAAAAATCTGTCAATTTGGAGACGGAATATGTGACAAGCATATTGTTGGGAAATATCCCTCCTACATGGAGGAAGTGTCCAATTTTAATTGGACAATACTTTACATCTCTCTTTTATATTTGGGCTTTTTTTTTTGTGTGTAAAGTTTTAGCCCAAATGTTTTTTTGGTGGCCCATTCTTTTGTGTTGTGTGGCTACTAACTAAAGAAGAAAAAAAAAGGATAAGTGAGCAACTTGAGAAGGCAGTGGCTGTAGCCAATACGCAGGAGAAAAGAAGAAAAAACAGAATTTCCGCCACATTGTCCAGCAGCCCCGTTTTCAGTCCGGATCGAAGGCCAAACGAAGTCCGATCGTGCTCAAATTTTAGTATGTTGTTCCTCACATACTTCTCTTCAAATCCAACAGTCAGTTTCTCGTTTTGATGCCCGGAAGGTGGTTTTCTTGCTGCATTTTCAGACCTGCGTTTTTGGGAGTTTTTACTCTATTTTATGGTGAATTGTTGATTGTTGTTGTTCCAAGGTTGCTCCTTGATGATTGTGTATACCTCTAGTATTTACTAGAGAGGAGAACTTGTTGTACCCACTTGATTCTTGGTGATTAGTGGAAGTTTGGGAGCCGTTGTTGAGCGGCCGTGGTTTTCTTCCTGATTTGGGGTTTCCACGTAAATCGTGTGTTCTTTATTTTATTTCCGTTGCTATTTATTTGTGGTGGTGCTGCTGATTTTTGGAGTATATAGTGCTTTGTTGTTCATCTCATTAATTTGGGGAAAAGATTTTATACGCTTCCGTTGTGTTTTGTTCCGTGCTTCCCCAACAAAGTGGTATCAGAGCTTGATTATTTATTGGTTGGCTTCTTGTGTTGTTTATGATGGATGACAAAGTAATTGTTCAAGGAATGGTTAGTTTGGACTCTACAAATTATTTAATTTGGAAAATTCGTATTGAGGATTATTTATGCTCTAAAGATTTGCTTGACCCAATTTTGTATAAATAACGTCCAACAGGTGTTGATGAGAAAGCTTGGACTACCTTGAACCGGAAAGCTATTGCATCAATCCGACAATATGTTTCTTTAAGTGTGTTGCAACATGTTGCTAATGAAACTAATGCTTTTGAGATGTGGAAGAAACTTGAATCCATGTACGAGAGGAACAATGCTATGGGAAAAGCTTCTTTGATTAGGAAGCTTGTTAAATTGCAATACAAAGATGGTGATAACATTGTGGTTCACATGAATGAGTTTCAAGGTGTGGTAAACCAACTAGCCGGAATGAAGATGAAAGTGGAGGATGAACTTCAAGCTTTGTTGTTGCTTTCCTCATTGCCCGACAGTTGGGATACATTGGTGGTTTCACTTAGCAACTCTGCTCCGGATGGCAAGATGACTATGGAGATGGTCAAGGCTAGTCTTTTGAATGAAGAGGCTAGGAGGAAAGAATCAGGTTACCCTAGCCAAGCTGAAGCAAATGTGATTCCAGAATCTAGCAGGGGGAGAAGCAAGAGTAGAAATCCTCATTACAGAGACAAGTCCAGGGGGAGATCCAAATCCAGAAAGAGAGATTTCATTTGCCATTATTGTCAGAAGCCGGGTCACATTGAGAGATTCTGCAGAAAGAAAAAGAGGGACATGTCCAGGGAGAGAAAAGATAAAAATGAGAATTCCGAGCAGAAGCCAGAAGAGAAGAACACTACAGCCTTGGCATCTAGTGATGATGATTTGTTTGTTATCGTTGATCATGGACTATTAAACGTACCATGTGATGACTGCACCTGGGTGATTGATTCTGGTGCATGTTATCATATTACCTCACACAGGGAGTACTTCTCATCCTATACTAGTGGTGATTTTGGCCATGTGAGGATGGGAAATGATGGTTCATCCAAGATCATCGGTATGGGTGATGTTTGTTTAGAGACTTCCACTAGTTGCAGGTTGGTGCTCAGGGATGTGAGGCACGTCCCAAATATCAGATTGAGTTTGATTTCAGCTGGTTTACTTGATGATGAAGGTTATTCCAACAAATTTTGTGATGGAAGATGGAAACTCTCTAGGGCTGTAACGCCACAAAATATGGCCTAAAATTTATTATAAAACAAAAGTAAATTTTATCCAATAAGAAATAATTATACGTTTGACCAAAAATAAATGGATTTTCAAAATAATGAATTTTTGTTAAAAAGTTATTTTTATGGATATAATCATTTGGATTTAATCCATATATTTTTATCTCATTCATATTATTAAATTAATTTATGATTGAGACAGACCTGAACACTGAGAAAAAATAAAAGTTCTCAAAAAAATATTTTGATTACGTCAAAATTCTAGTTTTGACAGTCTGTTTCCAAAAACACAATCCGTTTTCAATTCATGACAGTTTAGGCGAAAAAGCGCGTACCGTTTTAGCCAGTTTATCAATTACGGAGTAGGAGAATATTTTAAAATCTTCAAAACTCCTTCAATCACAGACCTTTCTCCTTAGCTACCCCACTCCACTCCACTAACACTATAATCCAACCCTTCCTATATAATACTCCCACCTTTATTCCATTTTCTCCACCACATATTCATCATCAAACATCATCACCAATCATCCATCCATCCATCATCTCTCCTCTTCACCTCTCTCTCTCTGTCGGTCAGGCACCAATGAAGGAAAAAGGAGATTCCAACTCCATGATTTCATGTTAAGGAAGAAGGAGCAAGAAGGAAGTAGCTAAAGTTTTTAAAATCCTGAGTTCAAACACAGCAGCCCACTTCTAGGTAAAAACTGAAATTCTCCATACATTATCTCGAAATACTTTCTGAATCAAAGTTGTAGCCCCGGACGATACGAATCCAGCCCAACAAACGGCTCTTGATTTCGTTAAGTATCGAGGAAGATATGGCCAAAATACCGGGACTGCACCAGTGGTGGCGAGCTCCTCGGGTTGGCATGTTTTTCTTCACCAAATTCATATTATTTCATCCCAAATACTTACCATAAACTTTCTAACAATTATTAGGAACATCCGGAAGGTATCGTAGAGAAAGTTCGGCATTGGAACGTTGAAGTTAGTGAGTTAATCGTCGGAATCATGTTCATCGACATACCCGAAATTCTGGACAGCAACTTTCTATTGACTTCAGGTCCGATTTACGCTATCTTACATATGTTAAAACGAAATACTTTCTATAC